TTGAGAGCGAGAGCCACGGCGCCCAACATCACTGGCTTTATCCGGAGGAAAGCGGCTACGGTGTCGAGCACTATCACTCTTCGCTTACTGTCTAAGATGGAATGGCCCCCATTGGTTGCTCGCGGCGCTTTGCGGCTTGTGATATCTACGTGTAATACGCCGAAATCTCCACCGAAGTAGGGGTGTGAATGATTTTATGAAGGTAATCTCCAACCACCTTCCATGTACGTGTCAGCCATATCAATGCGGGATTTCGACCAAGTCGATATGCTGGATAAAATAGGATGCTTGTAATGGTGCTGGTGGTGTCCTACACCGTTCACATGATCTTTGGCACGACTCTGCACCAAAAACAAAGCTCATTGTTCATCATTCGGAGTTCCAATTGCTTCTCATGAACAGTGTTAGCTTTTACTCGTGTTGAACTGCTAGTCGGTAATTACCTAATAATCGAACTAACTAACTTGATCCTCAAAAATCAGGAACATTCCAGATCTTTATTTCATTTTGTGCATAAGATTCCATAATTTGCTTTCTGAGATTACAGTAAAAATAATAACCCGCTATCAAAACAGATCCTTTGCTTGCAAAATTTTTGTTGCGTTGATATTAATTGCAATAAACAAAGTTATGGCATCTTCTTTTCGTTCCAGATACTGAGCGAAAACACTTCCATTGAGAAACGGTTTGTAGGTATCTCTTTCGTAATTGATAGGCAGAAATCGGAATGTCAGGCCTGCCTTTTGAGCTACAATCCCTGCACTGAAGACGTCGTCCAGCTGAAACACGCACATTTTTACAGTCAGATGCTGGTGCGCCTAACTAAGATATGTCAGGAAAGCCTGTTATCAAACCAATGTTTCAAGCATTTTGATTAGTTCTTTCTTCTTTCTTCATTCACCTTGGTTCAGCTGTTTTTCTGCCTTCCATTGATAGGAAATTGCAAGAAATAGAGATAGAAATGAATAAAAAAAATTGGAAAAAAAGAGATAGAAAGTTTAAAAGAAATATATAAGAAACGACGTTATATTATAACTGGACTAGGACTGGCCTCTTCGCTGGTAGTAGATGAGAAAATTAGAGATTCCTCAAAACCTGCGATATCCATCGCAACCATCGTCATCAACTGTTCATAATTCAAAAAGCGGTTAGAACAGAATTCTTTTCGTTTTTCTTTTTGAGCGATAAAACATATATGCGACATGAATAACTTTACCCAAACATGGTTAACGGCGCTTGTGGCATCATAGAGCTTTGCGAATGTTCTTGGTGTTCCTGCATAAAAAGGGCTAAGGCAGTACTCGGGGAAAAACTCATACGGATACACTTTCCATGGCACGTACCTTAAATAATTTAAGCCTCTTGATCATTAGCAAGTGACAAGGCATGTACGTAAGCACATCCTTACGATAGGAATCTAGTTAATGCAAACATTACAAGATAAGTGAAAATCATTTTTGGTTCAATTCTTTCAGAAAACTCATCTTCACTAATTGTCCTACTTCCATCGTTTCTAGCTCGTATTGAAAACTGATGGTTACCGCATCCAATGTATTTCCTTTCTGTATATTTCTAATAGCGGATACGCTTTAGAAACGCAGAGCGCGCGCTTCGTGATGTGCTACGGTATGAGTTGAATAATGGTAAGTTAGGTAAAATGACGTCTAATTTCCTCAGTAACAAGCTCAATCGTAAGGGTTTTAAATAGTGCGTTCGAAACCTCTACGTTCTTCCAAATGATTAATTCATTGGAGCTGAAATAAATGAAACTAACCATCGCTTTCTTTCTTGACGCTCTACCCACGGTTTTAACACTGTTTGACAATACAAAACATCTTCGCCGGGATCAATTTCTTCAAGAAAGTTGAAGACTTTCTCAACGTCCCAAGCTATATCGTCGTCAACTTTCAGAATCGCTTTCACACTAGTGCAGTTCTTTCGCACATAGTTTGCATACGAATATGACTGTAATAGGATACTGTAGCTTACTATGTAATTCATGACGGTCACCCATAGACCAATAAGATCACCTTCAGCGTAAGATTACGGTAGCTATCAATAAAGTTCGTCTGCAATATATCCGAGTACTTTTCGTGTTCTTTACGCAAAGCTATGTTGATCTTGTTGACTTTTGATAGACCGACAGGAAAGAGGATGGCAAAATTATGCTGAAACAATAAACTAGGACAAGCGTAAAAGACCAACTTAACATTTGTCTATCTTAGTCTTAGTGATGTAACATGCGTCTTTACTCAAGCAACAGATAACTCTTAAGAAAAGCCTGGTAATCTACAATCTAAGAAAAGTCGTCATACCAAAAGTATGGTGTGGTTCGTCTGACTCTTGAACAAGCAAAGACGAGTGAGCCCCTATGACGTAGGAATGAGAAGAATAGAACTTACTAATACCCGCGCCACTGGATAATTGATAATTCCACAAGATAACAGGTAAAAGATAACATCGTGCATTATGTCCAGTAAATACCCGCTTACTAAACCGGCCATATGTTGCCACAAATTGTCGCCTGGCTTCCGGCTCTTCTGCCCTTGTGATCACAATAATCAGATAACGGCGATTATCGCAGAAACCACTACGTGGAGCGAGAATGACAGACGGCGCTTCGCCAAGCTGAAATACCAACGTTTTATCGGCTTTTATCTTGTTTCTGAACCATTCAAATCGAAAATCAAATTCATTTTTCTTTATCCGAAAACCTTAATTATATTTTCTGAAGAAATTGTAACCTCTATGAGCGCCACGAGAGCACATAATCAACCAAAAGGAAAAGACGAGCAGTGCTATAGGACGGACACTTATCAGAAATGATAGCCATAGTAGACATCGATTCGGACTGGTTTTTTAGTAACATGGGATCTGTCATAAGTGATACCTATTTAGCTACCAGCACTTTCTTAGATTATCAAGCTAAGAGAAATGTGGTAAAAAAAACCTATTCAGCTCACATTTCGACGGTTTGCTCTTCTTCACAGCTGGATTGATTTGAGTAGACTGTCCACAGTAATTTATTCTCGTGATGTGGGACTTTCTAGTACCACCCAATATGGTCTGCATATATGCTGTTATGGTGGCAACGCTTCCTGTAGAAGTCAGAAGACAGCTATCGAATCCAGTCCAGCTCAACAACCGCTCTTTGCATAAAGGAACCGCCAAGTGAAGTTTCTTTATTCGAAAGGTGCTTCACACCACTGGATCCGACTCCATGTGACGCCATTTGGCTGTGAGAAGTCTTCTCGGATCAACATAACTCTGAAGAAGGCGAAGACGCCGAGACGGTAGTTGGACAAATCTCCTTATCAACCTTGTGCTGGCTTAATAAGCCAAGAAAATATTGATCAATTGTACCGAGGTTAAATGAAAGTCGGTTTTTAGAAATATTTAGCTGTCAGTTTGTGGTTATTCGGAAACCAGACTTACTCTGAATGGTTTTTTGGACGAAATTGCTATCTCCGAGACATACAAATACTTTGAGATGGGGAACAGAATAACAACGAGCATTAACAATAGAAAATACGTCTTTAACGCTATACTAGGGATAATCCTCAATGACATTACTGCTCTGCTCTAAAAACGCCCAATATCAACCCGAAAATCATGTGATTATCAAATTATACAATGAGGTTTACTTTATTGAAAGTGGATAGTGGAAACTGTTATGAAGAGTGTGAGAAGCTCAATGGTTGGAGATATCGTTCGATGCACACGTGGTCTTGATTCAACCTCACACCAGGCAAAAGTGGCTACTCCTCATTCTGGATTTAGCAAGTTGGTAGCAGAGTGGCCCATGAAGAGCTCCCTTCAACACTAAAAGGATGGCGAACATTTGCGGTTAACAGTTCGAAAACCTCTAGCAGGACTACCCTGGCCGGAATTTCAAAGCGAGTAATGCTAAACTAGCATACGACGACACTCCTGTCTTCGAAGGGTATCCGAACACGAATCCCAAGACCTTAGTGCATAATGGGAAAGAAACAACAAGCTGAATGAAAAAAGTCTTAGATCCACACAGTTTGTGAAGTCACACTTTAGAAAATTATGGATATCTTTCTGTTAAGCGATTAACAAAGAGCAATAAACGACAGTTAGAAGAAAAATACAAATGTTTATTAGAACAGTACTAGGGATCCACGTCGATACGCAGTCCACATTTGCAATCACCGCTTTCCATAATCTTTAGATGGCATCTCAAACCGTGCAATCACTGTGACCTCATTCAATCGCCACTCATTAGAAATCCATCAACAAAGTTCAGTTCATTGTCTTCATCATTGCCGAAACGAAAAGTAAGAAAAAGAAGTGTGCATATCAGCCCTTTAAATATGTCTTCTAAGCATGATAATCGTATTAAGTGTCGTGTTTGCGGCTATCAACCACAGCCTGTTACTTTATCAATTCTGGTCAGGTGGTGTTCCTCTCAACGATGCGTAACTTTCTCTGTAATTGACACAAAGACAAGGTTTAAGCTATATAACCAGCAATGTCTTCAAAATCAAATGCTGACATTGAATTTGACATTCAATACTCCAATATTCCCGAAGTGATAAAGTTCGTCGACAGCTCTCAGCACGAATCCAACAAACAAGTCGACCGGTAGTTGAGCTAATTTGTTCTTGAACAATGCGAGCCTGCAGGCAAAGTAATAAAAGCTCTGCCCTTGATCTCAGTTCTCCATTATGGTTCTTTTTCAACATATGGCCTTAAGGTCAAAAGGATTAGCTTATCTGCTGCTATGTTTTGTATTGGAAGAAGTTCGAAATGTAAACTTCTGATGTACTAGTGTTCACCAGTAAAAAATAAAAAGAATGAAGACAAGTTAAATGACTACAGAATAGGATTCTGTAAGGAAATTTTATGCCTAAAAGCGCAGATAATATTCTCTAACAATTTCAATAAAAACAAGATATTTCTACAATATTTAAATGAGAAACAAATAATCTTTATAGTGCACTAAACAACCGGCAAGTTTTGTTGTTCACCGGATCTCACACTTCGGCAGCAAGAGGTGGTATTAAGGACAGAGATGCAATCTTTGCCTCTTCAATACCAGGGAAGGCAGCTTTTATTTCGCTGAGTTTCGCAGGATGAACGGCAATTGCGCGAGTATAGCTCTAAAATGAGAAGCAAGGGTTAACTACGAAATTATTTCAGTACAATAAACCTACATAGTTCACATACCTCAAACAAATTACGAATTCGTTGACCACCTAAGTGGAGCATATCATCAATAGAGGTGTTCCACACACGCTGACACAGCCTCCTTGAAATATAATATTTACACCATTAATCCAACACTTCATCATAACCACCACAACATAGATCAATTAGTGTCCTCATCGTCCTTTAAAAAGTAAATAAGTTGAAAAAGTGCAAGTTGTCTCGATAGATGATACCTTATTTAGATCAAATGGTGGAAAAGTACTAATCGACAATTCGACTTGTTTAATAATGTACTTACTTGGGTACTGGGATGACCCGTCTTCACTGGTTATGCGGACCCCAGCATAATTCCCATTTTGTCAGAGTTTTGCTAGCTATTGCTGTTCCCTGGAGTCTCTAAGTCAGCCTAGCCAAAGTCTGCCCCAGGTTATCACCACCACAAATAGTCACCGCCCTTGTAAATTAGAGAGCGATTTGTCACCATGCGACTAGTTTGATACCAGGACGGTAGTGGATCCTGATATTGTTTACCTTTAGCTAGGCTTCCTGACAGAAACGCCAAATTCCTTCTTAGCATGGAAAGCCCTGAAAGGGTGATGAATCTCCCCGCTTCACATCGCAACGCCCACGAACACCTCCCAGCCATAATAAGGCGGTAACTCGCTGGAAGGTGTTTAATAGTGTATGTTGTTTGTCTTACTTGTTGTAATCTGGAGGACTTCCTCTTATACTTCCAATAATCGACAGTTTTCCAGCTCCGCTTACCTGAAACACAGTATTGAAAAAGCAAGTTTTTTAAGCACGCCAATCAGTCATTTTCCTAATTAAACTTAATCAGAACCAATAAACATAAACAGGAAGTACTTCATTATGGAATACATCGACATAAAATGAGTGATCGTCACGGTTAGACTTTTGGACACTGACACCTTCGAAAACACAGGATAATATCAGAAAATATGAGAAAAGAATGACGAAACATACCGTTTCTTCCCGTTCCATGAGCTCACATATAAGCGAACGCTTAGCGGCCTCAAATTCTGACTCAACAATAGTCTTGCCATTCAACACATCAGACTAAAGCGACCAATGTTCTTCGTACCAGTAGAATCAACAATGACTCATTCAACTTACCACAATCCTCTTTGTCATCTCATAGGCCTGTGCAGGTTGTGCACAGCGGTGTAACGACAATGTAATTGTACGACGATCCGCTTTAACGAAAATATTTGCACCATATGCCAAACCAACACCACGGATACCTCGATATAATGGGCCTAATTAAATATAGTATTTTATTCCAGGACAAAAGCCATATTAAACTAACGTATCGTGTAATACTCTTGAGAGAATATTCATAAATTCTTTCCTTGAAACCTCGATACGTTGATAAGCAACAACAAATGACAAAAAAATCAGAGCGAAAGAACTTCTTCAGAAACAATTCCATTATATCAACTTGATGTGCTGAGCAGTAAGCCCACACTTTATAAATTGCTAAGAATACTATACCAGTTGTTAATAATCAGGTGAATGTCCTCACCCTCACACTGACTCAAGTACTGCGAAAGCAGCATAGTTGGCACAAGTTCTTCACTCTTCCAGTCACAGTCCATCAAACACGTTTGATAAATAAAGGACGATTCGGATCCCCCAACGCCTAGTACCTTCTGTTTGCCAAGGCATTTCGCATCCACAGTATCACCAGATTCGACCTTAACAAGGATTCAAACCCTCGAGAAACTACGCACAAATCGCGCCAAGAATCATTCAGACAGTTTTAGAAGATAATTAAACATGCAAGAAAAACAGCTAAACAATTACCATAAACTTCTTATAGGCTCCAAAGCTTTTTTCTGCAAAACTCCATTGTTGTACATTGAAATACTTGTTGTTGATAAGACTCACGTCGCAGACGATATGAGCATTGACACCATGAGAGAAAAGAGTCGAACGTAGCTAAAGAGAACCTAATTTTAAAGGTTACAAAAGAAAAAAGGGGTTACAGAAATAACACCCTCAAATGTCATTCACTTCACAAGAGAATGAAGAGTACCACACTCAAATACAGGATCGATAGCCCTCAGTTCCACATGGACCGATTTCTACCACCGCACTAAGTGCTATGGATAAAGGAAAAAGGATAAAGCTCTCGGCGATGATTAATCCCTGATAGATGTGCCTTGCATTCGAATTTATTATGCATCGCAATGAATGCATATCTGGCCTTTACAATGACTCACGGTGCCCTACCGATTCATCGAGCCATTGATGCTATCCTCTCATACATGCCTGGTACCAACAATTTGCCGACCCCGGAGCGATGGAACGCTTGGTGAGCCTAGTGCGCGGGAATCAATCCTATGTGTATTGCAGAGCGCTTCTAAGCATTGGGCTACACGGATCCCTGATGCCACAACAAATCAAAGAAAAAATAGCCTGGTTTACAATTAGCTGTTTTCTTAATAAGCCAAGGTGGGGTTCTCACTATGCCATTTATTTAACCACAAAAGCTGACGTTACGGCGGATTTCACTCTCTTCAAAGAGTGGACAAGCAAAGTTGACTGCAATCTAGTCAGCCAAATACCTCCATAACCTCGACAAAAAACCCACTATACCTAAATTTCAAATACAATGGTAAGGAAACAGCTTCTTCATGCAGTTACGATTTACTACGAGTCTTCCATCAAATCTTCCACATGGAGAAAATCGCACAGACTTCACATAATTGGGTAATGTACCTATCTAACGTTAAAATATCAATCTGAGATACTGTCTAGGATCACGCCTGGTAACGAGATGTGCGTTATGCGGTTCATATTTGGATTCCTGGAAATTATTCTAATGAATCGAGTGTCTTATACACTGAAGTAATAGATTCCTGCATGATGGTAGTGAATCCTGCTCCAAAATCTTTTCCGTTACATCTTTGTATCCTATGTGCCTCCTAGTGGAGTATTTAGCTTAACTTTAACTTTACCGACTAGGTGTTCCTTTAAACAGATGCAAAGTGGTCTACCCGCTTTGTCAATATATCCGTCTCTACACGCTTTACAAGAGATCAGATATATTGTATTCGAACGCATGCAAACACTGTCTCTACCGTCAGAGCACATCACGCTATTTAGAGATCTACATATACAACCAGTGGGCATGTGCAGGGCAGTGGTTAGAGTGTGCTGCAATACACATGGATCGACCCCGCGTCTCATGCACCCCAAGTCTTCCATCCCTCTGAGGTCGGCAAATGGCTACCAGACTTGCCTGGGAAAACAGTAGCACTGATTCGATACATCAGCAGACCATCATGACTCTCTGTAAAGGTACGACATGCGTTCATTTACTTTTAACGATGTTAATGAAGTCGAATGCATGGGGCATCCCTAAGGGATTAATCGACCCCGAGAGCTTTGTCCTTTATCCACATATTGATTCCCTTGAACTTTGTAAACGGTGCTTTTATACCTCTTGAATATTTCAGCACCTTACTTAGTAGAGTCCACAGAGGTCCTTCAAATAAGGGATCTCGAGCTGGTTAGTCGCAAGGCTACGTCCCTAGGTGGCGGATAAGGGGTTAATTGCAGACCAAAAGCGATCCTAGCTTCCCTGAGACGCAGGTGGATCCAGGGGATGGACTCCTTGTTTCTGGTGCGCCAATTTGGCACATACTTCCTGTATCTAAGAAGCGCATTTATGCACGCGTGTGTTGATGCGTTCTAGTTAATACAGATTGTATTCTACGAGTCAATTCGGCCAAAAGCCTGCAATCAAGTGACAAGGAAGTATATGGGAAGCGGTTAGGAGTCGCCTTCAACAAATAAGCTCCATGTTCACTCTGGGAAAGTTTGGCAAGCTACCCGTGAGTACAACCAGCCCCTACCTTCAGAATCCAGCAAGCTATACGCGGGTATCAAAATGTTAAACAAAGTGAAAAAAAATGGGCCTCAGCCCCCTCACCCCGAAAGAGCCCCCAATTTCGCAGCGTTGGGTAGGGCGAGTACGGAGAGGCCGCTAAAATCTCAGGGCCAATGGAAGCCGCCTGAATTACAAAGAACTATGGTGACGATCTGTACCTACAGTGCACGTACACTTGAATCCGAGTCCTTGATAAACTCGTGATAGACTAAGACTTGATCGTGCAAGCGAGAAAGATAGGGAACGACGTCATCGCCCTAGCCAAAACGAGACGACGCCACCTATTCAACGCCGTCTATTACACCAAAGAAATGTTCCTCGGAACATGCGACAATAGAGGAGCCGGTGGCGCCAGCGTTCCCGTCAACACGAGTTCTTCCTTGAACATTGATTTATTCGAACAACTAGCAACCCGAAACGGAGGATTACGATTAAAATGATGTGGATCAATACCAGCTCTGACAATCTTCGTCGTTTACGCGCCGAGTCGAGCTATGACGAAGAAGAAGTCGAAGCATTCTATATGGACTTAGAGAAAATCTACAGAGAAGATATAGTATCTTCAAGGTCATCATTGGAGGTTTTAACGCCAAGATTAGACCAAGAAGAACGTTTGAAGAACGTCACATTGGGACCCACGGATTAGAATGGAACGAACAGGGTGAGCGGCTATCTGAGTCTATCACGGTGACCAAGACAATCCATGGTAACTCGCAATTCCAGAAGACCCATCCTCAACGCTGGACATGGGAGTACCTTAATGGAGAGTACCATAACAAAACAGACAACATCATAGTAAATAGGTTTTGTCTAACTGATGTCGCTGCTGTCCCAAAATTCTACACGGGATCAGACCATTGTCTCCTTCGTGCAAGATTCTATTTCTCGCGTAAAGGAGAAGAAGCCGCTAAATTCAAAAACCGAAGTCCCAGAACCACCACAAACTGGGACCTATTCAATTCATTAGTCGGCTGTTGGGAAGATGCCGTTGTCGATAACATCGACGAAGAATACGATTGACTCATTCAAAATCTTCACGTTAGCGCTATTAAAGATGAGAGTTGAAAAATCACCAAGAGACGTCTGTCTGCAGAAACATTCGAGCTGATACGCCAGTGTGGAATCAAACGAGCTGCAGGCAACCTCGAACTAACGTCCGAACTTACAAAATTATGCAGATCAGCGATAAAAGAAGAACTTAAAGAGAGAAGAGCAGTAGTAATGGTCGAAGCTGCAAAGGCTGGGAAAAGCATTCGCAAAACCCACCGAAGCTTCGCCAATTACAAGACCAGGATGACTGCACTCCGACGCCCAGACGAAACAGTTAAAGCGTCCAGAAAGGCAATGGAGAAAATCATTCACGAATAGTACTCGGATCTCTTCAATAGCCACGTCCACCGTCATATCAAATAAAGGAGGATGGATATGCTGTACCACCGGTTCTCCCATCCGAAATCCGCTAATACCATTTCGTCGGTGAAAAATCGAAGAGCACCGGATCCGGACTGGGTAAAATCAGAACACCTGAAGAACCTTCGTCAGTCCTCGTAAACACACTTGCTCGGCTCTTCACACCTTACCTGTCTGAATACAAGGTCCCTAATCAGTGGAAGACCAGCAAGACAATGCTATTGTTCAAGAAGGAGATAATTTACACGATTTACACGATATAGGCAACCTTCGCCCGATCTACTTGCCGCCTGTCGTCTACAGACTTTTCACTCGAGTCATCCTAAACAGGATTGACAGAACACTGGACGAAGGACAGCCATGTGAGCAAGCAGGATTTCGAAAAGGATTTAGTACGAAGGACCACATTCACACAAGAACAAGACTCACTGAAGTATCGAGAGAATACAAAAACACCGTTCTGTCTCATTGTCATCGACTTAAAGAAGGCCTTTGACTCAACTGAGATAGAAGCAGTTATAGAAGCCCTTGACAGTCAAGAAGTCCCTACTCAGTACATAAAGATTCTTCGTCATCTGTAAAAAAATTTCAGAACCTAGATAACACCATTCTAAACGACATTAACATCAACGTCAAAAGAGGAGTTAGGCAAGGCGATATTATCTCGCCAAAATTGTTCACCGCCACCCTCGAGAGCGTCATACGAACATTGAAATGGGACAACATAGGAGTGAAAATCGACGGTCGGCAGTTACACCATCTTCGCTTTGCTGATGACATCGTCCTTGTAATACCAAACATTAGCCAAGCGGAACGTATGCTTGACGACTTTGATAAAGTCTGTGGAAAGATTGGTCTTCGACTAAATCTCACAAAAACGATGTTCATGAACAACGGATTGGCTTCGTTTACCCCATTCACGCTTATCAGAACGAATATCTCCGAATGCTCCAGTTATGTCCATCGAGGTTGGGAAATCAATATGATTAACAGCTCCAGAGCTGAGAAGAAGGAAACGAGCGGCTTGGGGAGTCAACGATCAAAAATCAAAGATGCTGTTCTGTACGCCAACCAGTCGAAGATAAGGTGGGCCGAACACGTAATGCGTATGAACGACAACCGATGGACAAGAGCGGTTAGTGACTGAATTCCTTAGGAAGTCAAATGCACTGCAGGAAGACCACCGACCCGATGGTCAAGTTCTTGACGAAAACCCTAGAAGAAAGGTATGATGCTCAACGAGTCCCTACAGTGAGAACCTACTGGGCTACTCTTGCATGCGACAGGAAAAAATGGAAGATTCACTGGTGTCCACTCGAGTCACTCGACGATCAACGGAACCACAAGTGATACAGGTGGTATTTAGCAGAGTGGCAAATCATCATTGACCCACCTACTATTCTCCTCCAAAGGGGCACTTCAAATACTAACCACTATGGCTTTCCTTCGCGTAATTCTGGTTTATGACGATATCAGAATGTCTGGAAGGTCTTAAACTACTTCGCGGATAGTTCTTCTTGAGATTCTGTCTCGGATAAGGACGCCCATTAATTATTAGAAATACTTCTACCTCTGTTAATCTCAAAGCTTAAACTTGTTGTAAATAAACTAAAAGCAATAGAGGTGGACCACAAGTTTACCTATTGAGATATTACATATGCCCATGGCATTGATTCTTAGACCTGATGGAGGGATACACAACAACATTCTACCACATCGTGGATAGTAACCATGTTGTAAGCACAGTTTAAACCACGTCTTGACGGAATCCAGTAAGAGCTCGTGGTTACTTTCTGGTTATAACCACTATTGAAAAACGTGCCGAAGTAAGACCTCAATGATCTTTTTGACTTTTGTTCGACTCTAGTGTGAAACGGAGTGGAACAGCGTTCGTCGATGCTTATTTGAACCACTCAGCGATTAATGGGACCATAGATGATATTGGTGATGGAAACATATAGCTTAACTTAATATTAAGCTGAAGACCATATCTCATTCTTCAGTGATTGTCTTCAAGAAATACTAAAGTGCAACATCAATAACTCTGTAATAAGGTGAAAATAAGAGATTGGAAAAAACAAACCAAAGCCAAGATTCCTACAGTATTCCAGATAAACTTGGAAAACAAACCTCTTCTATATTGCGTATAACCTCTTTTGGTTGAGCGTCGCACATTTTTGCCACACACTCGTGGAATTTCTCCAACACAAGTTCATCATACATACGTCCGTTACTATCTAAAAATTTTGGCCTGCTTGTATGAAAAAAGGCTCTCTCTAATGTAGTACAACTTCATCCTGCTTCGCTTAAAAAAACATTTACTCTGTTGGTACAGCATTGAGGCCAGAGCGATACTAGCTACACTACATCCATCGCGTTTCTTCTCTCGAGCTTCACTAGCCAACTTCTTCGCACACTGCTTAATACGTTGTATATCGAAGACAATACCAGTCGTGAAAATTTCCGCCCACTTTGCAAGATGAGGGAAACCGGTTTCAGCGTCTACCTGAACATAAAAAAAAAGCGTATTATAATAACCACCCTAATACGACAACCTCCAAAAAAAAAGAATGAACGACAGCATTCCAGTTAAAGAAAAACAGACTACATTTTACTAACATATGAGCTAAGCCAAGTGCGGTGTCCAAGCTACAGTTTCGCTCATTTGTCGAGCTCACCGAGCAGTTTTAAAACACCCTCCCAAAAAAGGTTGTAGTTTTCATCAGGTTGTTCCTTTAACTAAACTGCACAGGAAAGATGTAAGTCTGCTAATCGTTGAAGAACTGTGACCCCAAAAAAAGTGAAAAAGTCGGTATCAAACACTTGATACAGGTACACAGTAAGAAGCACTTTTCGTGTCGTGATAAATACATTGCTTTGATCTGATAGTAACGAGGTCCGATACAAGCGAATCGTCTCCACCGATTATTTCCCCCACAATGCCGTAACCGAGAGCGCCATATCTATGAGGTACCGAAGCCTAACTAGCGAACGATTTTTTTGGGAGCTTCTGTTTTGTCACTACGTTCTTTGACCGTCACCAGGAACAGACGCAGGCACTTAAGGTAAAACTGTAAGTGAGAAAAAAAATGGTGACGGTTTCTTACATTAGTTTACTCATAGTTGGGCATTTGGATGAAAAATCTAACTTTCCTCAGCTTGACTAAACTTTCCGGAGGGTTAAGGGTGCAGCCTACGACAAGGTGATAAACTACTAGCTAAGGTGGGATGGCATGTTAGGCATGTTACATATTAAAGGAAAAGATTCTTGGGTTGCAATCATTTTTTTCTAGGGTTAAGCTCCCACAAGTTTCAGTTATATTTTCCTTTTTTATTATATTTTTTCCTTCCTTTTTTTATTTCTTCGATAAGTATGGTTCACAGTCCCAAATTTGGAATGACAAAATTCTTGAAGACCACATTGTACGATTGGTACGTTTTGAATTGCAGCGCCAATACCTCTACTTGACAACCATGAGTACGACAAACACTTACCACTATCCGTAAGTTAAGGAATTTTTCGAAACAATCAGACAAGCCGACTTGCACAGAATGATCAACAAGGTCCTGAAATACGATGTAGAAGCTTTTCTAAAGCTTAGAAAAAGACAAGCTTCTTTGGATTTATAAATAAAGTCCTACCAAGTTTCATTTTACCAAGAATGTTCACGAACTTACTATGCACTTCGTTTCAAAAGTACTGGAGAAATGTTCACTCAAGCTCAAGTGATCATTCGCGGCTCTAACTTATCAAACTTTCAAGGTGAAACTTCGTTAGTAAACTGTAGCATGAAAAATAAAGTTTGCCACTAGTTTAAGCGATTTCCTAGCCGATGAAGAGACCCATATTATAAATACACATAAATGTATCCATAACATGTCATGACATTGTCTATATTATGCTATGGCTTCCCAACGGTTGATCGTCTCATAATAGCCGGGGGATGTTCCTGGGTATCGGGCTGCGACGTACAGCGGTGGGATTCATCCCCACCTAGGTCTACCAAGCTGAGGAGACCGGCGTTCCCCAGAAAGCCCAGCTAAGAGTAAACCAATACCAGGAACCACCATCGTCCTGGTATCAAAGTCGCATGGTAGTAAATCTCCCTCGGATCCAAATGGGCAGCGACTACTTGTGGTGGGAATAACCTGGGGCAGACTTTGACCAGGCTGACCTCGGGACCCCAAAGAGACACAGGCCAAACCAGCAAAACTCCGAAAAATGGAAATTTTGCCGGGCCGCGCACAACCAGTGAGAGCGCGCTGCCCAAGTATCCAAGTAGTATTATGTTATGATGACGTTACAATTAACTGTTACAATTAACAAGTAATAACTTAGTTTTCCCATCGACTCATATTGAGTAAAAAAGTTCGTACCTTAGTGTACAACCTTGCAATGTCCTCTGCACTCTTCACCTCACCGTTAATTATAGCCGGTGACTCAAACAAGAGTTCAGTGTAAAGGTGTAGATATGCACGGTGTTCCATGGTTAATATACCCGAGTCGAAAAGAAGAAACAATTCCACGAATTTTGTCGGACAATTGTGCACTGTTGTCGGAAATGGGAACTGCTTAAGAAATTTTGCCATCTCTTGCGATGGTGTCGGCCCTTCTATGTTGCACCTAGCATCCACAGGGAAACGATCGAATGCTTCGAGTTTCTTCACAATCATCTTATCGAGTAATTCAGTACTAGGTTTTCGCGAAGTGTTCTCTTTCATTGCCATTTCTATTTGTTCTCCACATTGTTTAACACCGTCCTCACCAAGCTTCTTTCGCTGAATTTCGAGGCGGGATTTCTCTCCATTGGCCACCTGAAAAATGCGAGTGATGACATCGTACCCTTATAAATGCTACGGAAACATATTCGTGCCGACATCAGTCGATTTCAGCCCACACATGGTGGATTAGAACAACCGGTATGGACTGATTTCAAGTCAGAGCACATGCCGCGAGAAACTAGACGTCGATACGAAAGTCATGAAGCATGAATACTTTCAAATATTAGTAACTAGCTGAAAACGAATCCAAATAAATTCTACATATTTGACAAACGACTAATGCCTTAACAGAAGTGCTTAAAACTGCTACCTCCGCAACCATCTTTTCACTAGGCACTCCAATGATGACCACATGAGGATTGACAAAATACTTTTTTACGAGTCCGGACCAGAACGATGCAGGTTCGGACCGAAGGCGACGAATCAACTCTAACTGTAACAAGAATTTTTAAAGCACCATAAATTGCAGACACAAATCCACTAGACTAGGTCGCCCTCAGTAATATCATCACTATCATGCCATTTCAAATTTTTTAAAACAATCTTCTGAAAAACTCCAAATATTTTCCCATTTTCAATTATTTAAAACACTAAAAATAAATTCTCACATACCTTGTTTACTCTAGTTTTCAATTGATCCTCTTTACCACCATACAATTGATGGCTGATCATATGTTTAAATAATTCGGTAGCTGGCTTTTTTTCCATCTAAAAACTACGAACGTTTTAGAACTGGACTGCTCGACCTATTTAAATGCTGAGGGAATAAATTAAGCGTCGACCGCAGAAACGTAATGATACCCAGGAAGAAAAACTTTGCGAAAATACATTGGTATAAAGAAAGAAAAACGAAACGAGGAAATGACCTTCTTTAATTCATTCTTTACGCTCTGATCAATCAAGAAACCCATTCGTTCCATGTCCCAAGTTTTGTCTTCGAGATGCTCTTTTACTACTATGTCCATAAATCTAAATAAATTCCAGTTTCTGTACCCATACAAAGACACAAGTTCCAGACAACTCATTTTTTGACAGACAATAATAAAACCAGAGGAATTTCTATATTAAGATACCAAAATTTTTAACAGAGTACTAGGCCTGTAAAGAGTATTGCGAAATTTCAAAGACTAGCGGAGTGCGATAGCTTCCATGTTCACGTAACTCCTGAAGCTTTGAGACTTCTCAGTGATTTGATACTAATTGATGCAGAGACCGAAGTATTTTAAAATGTTATTTCATTTCAATCGAACGCACTTCTTTTTAACTTCGTCTAAACGGTCAGTCGGAACTCCAGAGAATATGAGATCTATGAGACATGTAGTCTGAAAATAATAATGAAAAATACCAAGTAATGTTATACACAAGTTAAAAACAAGTGAGTCTAGAAAGTTACCTGTTCAGTGACATGAAAGCTGATATAACTAGCTAGTGGCTTTTCGATGAGCACAAATTCTCGTTGCAACGGAGAAACTGGTGTGTACGACAAATAATCAAATAGTACTTCGAATGCCACTCCTTCTTGGAAATCGGTTGGTTGATAACCAAACCTTAAAACGGATTCGGAAACCTCGAAACAAATAACATTCCTGCTTGAAACCTCGGACTGAGTCTAGTGTTACCTGATCCTTCTTTGAGGGTAAAAATCGGAACTCGGGTCGTCTAGAATATTCAATGTAGTTATTACAACTTCCCAGTATTAAAAGAACTCAGGACAATAAGCAAATAGTCCTAGTTCTTTCCAAAAAAAACTGTATGTGCGCACAAACTACAGACAGGTACAGACGCCACAAACGTCTCTTAAGAATAATAAATCGGTACCGGTTAGATACAAACTGGATGACATCTGACATCTTCTAACAGTCATAAATACCTACCAACTAATTTGTACCATGCCACGAGATTCGTCTTCACTTGGGCAAAGTACACGATGCTCGCTTGACTCAACTGGTTGCTTCAAGTTGATTGAAAAGGGTCGTTGGAAAGTTGCCGGAACGTCTGGTAAGTGCTCCTAGAAATCATCTACTAGATGAAAAAAGATAGGAAAGAGTAGTTCCTAAATGTCCACTGAAAAAGCCACCTTTTCGAAAATGATGGCAGTAGTCCTATAAGAAATGCAGTACCTCTTCAGTAGCTTCAATAGTGTTTAAAAGGCGATCGTGGTTTATCCTACCAGCCACAATGATCATCATATTCGACAAATGATAAAACTTTCTGTGAAAGCCACGTACCTAGAACAATCACGACTTCAGCGTCAAAGATGGAAGTGCAACCAATGTCATCTACAAGAAGGAAGAATGACTTACTTTATCCAAGTTACACGTAGTTCGAAGGCTTGGCAGACGGCCTCCCGTATCAACACGATAACAATTGTTCGGTGGATATAAAACTTCCTTTTTCTTCCTTAAAGGACTAAATAACTAAAACATCAAAGACTACACTTTAGCATGACACAAAGCTTATTAAAACAGCAAGCATAGAACTTAGCCATACCTATCCATCATACAGGACATCTCAGATTCATGATCTTGCATTTCGCTGTAAACGACACCAGCATCTTCGCCGTTTCCGTTAATGTGATGCACCTCGGTAGCAAACTGTGACTTCTTGAAGAAATTATTTCAAGCAAATAAAGCAGCACAATTAACAGAAACCGACACAAATATCCCAAGTTGCACACTTACTGTTAACATCGGTGAAAGCAGGTGATTAAGGTAAACAGGCAACACCTTGAAGAAACCCTCGCTACCTACCTTAAATATAGGTCAACAACACCAACATCAATAACATGGCACACTTCCCTTTGTACAAAATTTTGGAAAAAAAATAACTAACGGTACTAAGCGTGTACGCTGTGTGGTCCTGATCCGTCCATGCATTCGTACCACTAGCCAAACAACGGCTGGCAATCATATCCAGAACACCCTTAAACGGATATTTTTTGCTGCCCAGAAACACCAGATGTTCCAACGTATGGGGTAGGCCATCATCACAATCCGTTTCAGTCACTAAACTACCTAAGCATTACACTAAAGAACGAAACGCTGAACACCTCTGTTCAACTGCAGATCAAAACTGTATTAAGTTCTTAATCGACCTCAGACCTTTACTCGTAAATGATTTCGAGCATTTACGACATAACTATCCCTCCAAACCAAACTGTGCATAGAATTCGTGATAAACTCTTCGCCGCAAATCTCAGCTTCCGCCTTTAACATTGTACGATGAAGGATAAATGACGAAGCTCTAGACGTTGATCAACCCTTAAAGGATTCGCCATGTATTCGACTTCACTGAGCATCGATGGAGGTGACCGAATGCATATCTACCCTTTACAATGAATTGTGGTGGCCCATCGATGTATCGAGACAGTGTTGCTATCCTCCCGACAAGTTTAGTACCAATTTGCCAACTCCGGAGGGATGGAAGGCTTGGTGAGCCTGGACGCAAGGATCGACCTCATGTGTATTGTACGGCGCCTCCGAACACTGCCCTACACGCTTTCCTCAACATTGCATGAACAATAGTGAGGAGACAAAATTCCCCACAGTTACAGGTCAAGTTCTGTTAAGTAGAGGGGGACCAAGCGCAAGCATCAGGCTCAGCTGTAATGCTAATTACTGCCCTGCTTCGGGAATTAACGATAATTCTTGACTTAACTTTGTCGTGAAGGAAATCAGAGCACAATAATGGTCAGCAACTACTTACCAAATGAGATGCAACCCTTCACCATTGGACCCGGAACATCGCCAACGGCCACAGCCAATCGACTCCGAGTGGAACGGTACAAGGAAATGTTAATCGTGCCATTCATAAGCACCTCTGATTTTGTCCAGAACCGACACATCATCACGAAATCTGAAGTTATTTTATCATCGGCATTATGCTAAATCACATAATTCTAGCGTCGAAACCACATGACCAACAGAAATAGGAATTAATTCTAACTTACCTCCAATTAGGTGTTCTCATAGTCGTCACGTTCTCAATGGGTTACTACTAGACAATGGAAAAAGATGTCACTAAGTATCGAAGACCGATGGACGATGAATATTCACACCCTTCCTGATTACCCAAACAAGGGAGTTCAACAAACCAATAAGGAACGCTTACTTAAAAATAGAGGAGACGGGGAACTCGTAGCTACTTTTTTACCAAACCAGTCAAAAAGGAGCTTAATACCAAAGATGTCATCCTTTCTAAGTCTCTCGAACGAGAGAACCACACTGCGAAACACTAAAGCACTAGAAAAAGTAGAAATTTGGATTGTACCTTGTTAATAAACACGACGACCACAAGGTTTATTCATTATACAAATCAAAAAGGTGTTCGTTAGCCTGCCCCGGCCCTGACACAGGGCTTACTGTTTAGCTTAAGAACGCACCACGGCCTTAATGAAAACCAACCACCGTGGATATTTAGATATCTCTTGAAAGAGTAAGATTTAGAGAGGTCAAGATTCCTTCAAACTAACTGCATAGTTAACAATAAATCTATCAAACCGCGCTCAGCATAACCTTGCAATGAACAAATACAGCACTGAACGAAGAAAAGTCAAACTACACTTATATTCTTGTAGGACTGTCATAAGGCGAAAAGAAAACCTCAAACATAGCGCACAAGAATATTAGACTATCAGTGATAAATAAAGGGAAACCCATCAAAAAAGAGGCTCTGAACCTTAGTGGTAAGGGTAACTTAAACAAACATCAAAACCTTTATTAACTATTTCGTCTAAAAGAAGAAGACAATCAAAAAAGTGGCCCGTTAGACGATGGATCCTCTAAAACAGAGGAACCTCACTCTACATGAACATCATCATACAACACCAAAATACTACTACAACATTCCACGAAGTATCACAGTACAACGAACGATTCATGAGTGCTACAATGAAAATCCACAAATATGTTGAGAGTAAACGTTGCTACTTGAAATCATTATGTTAAACAATGCAACATCTGAATAATCAACTAAGGTCAAGCTCAACTAAGGTTAGATTGCACCAATGAAGATGTTGGATTGTATAAGAAGCTAGTTACAATTAGATGCTACGGAACGAACAACCCATTTGTTACATAAAATCTCATACGATTACAAAGTAGATTAAATACCCAAAGTAGACAGAGCACGAAAGGCTCTTGTTTCTTAACTCATAGTGACTTTATCAGTTGACTTACTTTGGAGTACGCTTCCTTATCGGAATGTGATTTCATAAATATGTGCTGCAAGGTGTCGCGATCACGCCTATCGAATGCCATTTTTGCTGCTCCAACAAAGTTCCTGACAAAAAATTCTTTGCCTCCCCAGATCACACTGAGATGTCTCTAAGCACTAAAACATAAGAAAGAGGCGTAAGACTTTCTAGAGAGGTTCTCGGAAAAATGTCTCAGATTATTGGTTAGTTTCTCAAAATCTATCTGGTCAAAATTCAGTACGTGTATATTTGCGACGAGAAATGGTGAAAAATCTTCGCTACCTAGAACACGGTAAGCTTTAGCACTTGGAAACTTATAAAAGAGACTCTGCCCTACCGCTCCAGTAGTGCACATGATTTTAAGCATGGCAAAACTTGAACTGTTTTAAAATCGGGTTTTAAAAGTACTGATACAATATAAATGCTTTCGTATGTTTAACGGATCCGGAAGCACCAATAACATATTTAGTGACATATTCGTGTACTGTTGGAAAGTGATAATAATAAACATCTCTAGGATCTGTGAAAACAAAACCCAGTAGTGTTAGCGCGAATAAATGTGTATCGCGTTGGCAGACACTGTTAGATTCAAATGGTTTCTATTTTAACCAAGAAAGTAAGTTATTGCAAGTTCCTCCGTGTTTGCCTAAAGTTTAGCCACACAGAAATTTTCGCTTACCCTCTGGGTTCTTTAAATTAACTCGTATGGTATATCTTGTACAGTAACTATTCCCTAAATGGTTGCTATTCTTTCATATTATCATATGCTCCTATAATAATAACGTCAACTAATGACTACATTCACTGTGCCTCATGTCACAACAATTTTGCAGCAGGTGAATGTTTCCATCTCATTCACAGAAACTTTGCTTGCAATAGACATCCTTGTTTTACCTACCTTTTTGTATAAACGGAACATTTTGTGAAATGTTCGTGTTATTTAGTTTGAATCATTCACATATACCTTAACGCGAATAGCAAAAAGTTGCTGGGAAGAACCGTTGGATTCATGAACGATGAAAAGACGACAGTCGACGAATATTTCCTAGGAAATTCAGAACCTACACCAAAACGTCGCCTTTTCCAGAACACATCTATACGGAATAGTGAGTTTCTATCCTGTTCACCTGGTTATGGCCTTCATGGCCGCTCGGTTTATCTTATGCCCCACTCCATTTAGATCATCCATGTTTATAAGCCTTATGGTACATGATCACTATTGTACACTAACCTCCTTCTATTGTCATGTACCCTTTAACACATTAAACCCATTGTCAACTAAGAGGAAGGCCGGGCGAAGGAAACGTTGCCGAAAAGATACTTCCCTCGGATCAATATCGTGGTAAACATCTGGATTCATCCTTGCAAGATCAAGTCACGACTCCAGGAAAGATCAAATTGCTCAATCAGCGACAGACTGACTACCCCTTACATGGAGTACTCCCTTCTATGACGTCAGTCGGTGAGATGACTATTGAAAGGCCTCGGGTTACGCATGACGTCACTGGAACCGGATTTGACGAACACACGACACACTATGTATAATGCCTGAACATTTTCAGCAGACGCCTATCTTCACGCCCTTCTTGAAGCTGCAGATCGCGTTAAATCCGATGTGATCGCATTACAAGAAAGAAAAATCAAGAAGACCGTCATATGCCAACTAAACAACGGAGTCGTTGTCTTTCGCGGAGAAAATGTCGGTCGCGTAGGCTACATCATCCAACCGTCCACTGCCAGTCTCGTCCACTCGTCCACTCGTACAAGATCCTTTCCCTCGCATAGTCGTCCTCCGTCTCCAACTGACGTGTCATAAGAAGATCACAACCGTCAATGGCTACCCAACGACCAATGCGGCCGATGAGTACGAAATAGATTCGTCCTACCCATCGCTTGAAGGAAGTTACCCGCAATGATAAAGCATATTGTAAATTTGTTGTCATAGACTTCAACGCCAGAATAGGAAAGACCAACGAAAGCGAATAAAGGATCGGGAATTTTAGATTAGGAGAAAGAAATAAGAATGGAAAGCGTCCCGCCGGCTCTTACCTGAAGCATGGCTCTCACATGGAAAATCACTTATCTAGAAAAAACTCGTCGCTTGACATGGAAGCCTCCTAACCACAGGACTCAACCGGAGATCGAACATATCCTATCAAGCAGAAGATGGAGCCTGCTTGACACCTAATCAAGCCCGTCATTCTGTACTGTCCGATCACCGCCTTATTCGCGCGAAGGTTCGATTCAGCCCTAAGCTGGAGAATTCATGTCCTCGACCACGAGGAAAAAGTCTAGCTGTATATGACGAGAACATTCAAAACGAAATCCTATACAAACGTGACTGGCAAATTAAGGAAGACCCAAACGAAGACTACGAGCCGCTTGTCGAAGGATTGAAAAATTGCGCCGTATTCACCTCAATTCCTCAAGAAAGAATATCGGACCGCATCTCCATTACCACTAAGGAGTTCTTCCGACAGAGATGGAAACTAAAGCTTGATCCTGTTGCAGGACGTTTAACAAGGCTGCTAATAAACGCCGAGTTATCCAAAACAGGATTGACAGAACACTAGACGAAGGACAGTCATGTGAGCAAGCAGGGCTTCAAAAAGGATATAGTACGATGAACCACATCCACACGGTAACATGGCTCATTGAAGTATCGCGAGAGTACAAAAGACCGCTCTGTCTCACCTTCATCGATTTGCAGAAGGCTTTTGATTCAGTTGAGATGGAAGCAGTCTCAGAAGCCTTTGATAGTCAAGGAGTCCCTGCTCAGTACATAATGATTCTTCGTGAGCTATACAAAGATTTCACAACCAAGATATCACCATTCTACAATGATATTAACATTAACGTCCAAAGAGGAGTCAGGTAAAGCGACACGATCTCGCTAAAATCATTTACCGCCACTCTCCAGAACGTCATGCGAATATTGGAATAGGATAAAATGTGAGTGAAAATCGATGGTCATCAGTTACACCATCTTCCCTTTACTGATGACATCGTCCTTATAACGCCAAACATTAGCCAAGCGGAACGTATGCTTGACGACTTTGAGCCTGTGGAAAACTTGGTCGTCGACTAAATCTCACAAAAACGATGTTCATGAAGAACAGATTAGTTTCGGATGCCCCATTCACGGTTAACGGAACGAATTTCTCCGAATGCTAGAGTTATATATATTTAGGTCGGGAAATCAATATGATGAACGACCTAGCTCCAGAGCTGAGCAGAGGAAAACAAGTGCCTTGAGAAGCTTTCAAGAGCACCGAGGATGTAGTGAAGAGAACAAAGAACACCCGACTCCGTGCCCACCTTTTCGACTCAACGGTACTTCCTACCATAATGTATGCGTCAGGAACTGGGTCGCTGCATAAGCAGGATAAGGTCATTCAGCGCCATCGAGCGCGCAATCGAAAGGACGATGCTAGCAGTATCCGTTCCACTCAAATAAGGGATGGGATCCGAAGCTCCGATCTGCGTCAACGATCAAAAATCAAAGATGCCGCTCTGTACGCCAAACAGTCGAAGATACGGTGGGCCAGACACGTAATGCGTATGAATGACAACCGATGGACAAGATCCGTTAGTGGCTGCATTCCATGGGATGTCAAACGTACTGCAGGAAGACCATAGACGCGATGCTCAGAGTTTTTGACAGAGCCTTGAAGAAAGATATGATGCTCGACGATTCCCTAGAGCGAGCAGAACCCACTGGGCTACTCCTTCACGCGGCAGAGAAAAATGGAAGATTTACTGGCGCCCGCTCAAGTCACTCGACGATCAATGGGACTACAGGTGATACAGGTGATACTAATAAACGCCAGCTTCTGCGGAAGAGCCTTGCAAGAAAATCCACATCGCTACAGGCAGAAGAAATTACTGGAAGCAGCACAGAAAAAAAAGCAGTTTGTAAAAATATCGGCGGGAATTGTGGGACTATAATGTTCCGCTGTCGGCACTATTGAACGAAGATAGATTCACCAAGACATTCCACTACGATATGGAGATGATAATGGAAAAGTTTGCAGCGACCTTTTCCTACCACAATTCCCGTTCCAAACGCTAAAGTCCCCGTTGGAGAAAAACCACCTGAAACTCTTCCGTCGGAGGTTCGAGTTGCGATATAAACCATGAAAATAGGCACAGCTCCAGGACCCAATGATATCAATGCCGACTTCCTTAGAGATGGAAGCCAGAATTTACAATTAGTTCACGCAAGCCGTATAACGACCTATCTTGAAAACGAGAAAATCCCCAGATCAGTGGAGGACATCGCGCATGGTAAGCTTGTCAAAGAAGAGTGACCGAAAGGATAATAATCGTCCGATATGCTTGTTGAGTGCATCTATAAGGTCTTCACGAAGATTATACTGTTGCGCATATCGTGGACATTGGATGAGGCGCAGCCAGTGGAGCGAGAAGGATTTCGACAAGGATTTTGCTGCATGGACCACATCCAAAAGCTGATCAGTGCCGCACTGCAATGAGTAATGAAGGCACTCGATTTGGATGAGAAGGGCATGTGTACTGATGGAAAATTCCTATCGTTTGCCGACGACATCGCCATCTTCTCAAAAAATACCAACGAAGCAGACCAATGAGCTCAAAGAAGCGGAAAAGAGGATCGGACTAGACAGAGTTAGACGGAAGAAGGAGAGCTGCTTGTGTCGCATTCAGGTCTCTTAAAAAAGGAACCGACCAACTAAAGGAGCCGAAAATCCGCATTCATCTTTTCAATTTAACGATGCTTCCAGTGCTCCGTTATGCTGCAGAGTGTGAGCTGATACTAAAACCACGTCAAGAATACTCCGCACTACTCACAGAGTGCTTGAATGAAGTCTTCTGAAATATAACCAGTACTCTCAATATCTAGCCGGAATGCGGAGCCCTGATTTTTGAAATCTATCACATCTTCGAGATCCGGGAGAATATACGTCGATAGCGAAACATAGATGGACCCTCACATAATGAGAAGAACAGACCACAAATGGACGAAAGAAACAGTAGAAAGGACTCTACGACGAGGTAGGGTTCCCTTGGAACGGCCATTCACGCATCAGGAGGACGTGTTCGTAACCAAAGTTAATCAGCTGTACTGGTAGCTGCAGTTGATCTAGGAACTAGTTTTGTCCTCACTTATTGACGCTGTGACCACATTACCGCTTAGGTAATTTCCGCGTTGACGTGTTATCGTTATTCTTGTATTATTAATAGCACAAACGGTATAGTTACCCAACATTGAGATACTGCTATGCGAAAACGTCGAAAAAGTCCCGCAATGCAAATTCCTACTTAATCGAGCATTCTGCTTTGAGATGATGACTATTCGGTGCCGAGAACTGACACTAAAAACTACTGTATTTTTGTTTAAAAACATATCTCATCGCAAGGTGAGCTTCATGGAATGAAATAGAAGTAAAAATTCAAATTTTTGCAAAGGTAGAAAATTGCTATAAAACATAAAAAAACGATATTTCATTAAGGCAATGATGAAACTGATTTTCTGGCATTAGTATTCACAAATATTTCCTCCTTTTTCCACCAAGGCTTCTATTCCAAACATGCTAAATTGTTCCCTTCAGGCAGTACGTGAGGATGTCTCAAAATGCATTCATACTTTGGTGTCTTCCGTACATAGGTTAAAAATTATCAGAATAGAAAATTGAAAAAAGGTTGATTTTATTTTTCAAAAACCTCGATTATTAGCAGTTTATAAAAACCGTTTATATTTTTCACCAATAGAGCAAAGCCTATTCTAAACTGAGCGCGCCGTTACCAGTCTATAAAATAATACAGTTATCGGAAAATAATCAGCAGTTAAAATCTCGGTGGTTACATGTTAATGTGAGGAGCTAATTTATCTTAGCGTCGTATAATATATAAAGATACATATATATATATATATATAAATATGTACAAACGCATATATATGTATCAGCATACATGCACATGTATATATACAAGCATATGCATTTAAATATACATATATATATATATATATAAATATATAACTCGCACTGTTGCGAATATGTTAATGATCAGTGCTACATTGAACTGTTCAAACTTGTAGACTGAATTAAAAACAATAAACAAAATAAACTACGAAGAAAAACATTTTACGGCTAACATTTATCACAACTAACCCCAAAGCTATGTAGGCAGCAACGAGATCCTGATATCCATTTACCTTCGCAATATATTTTTTGCATTCTTCTCGTCGATTATGTTTAATGCATGCCTTAATAAACGGCTGAAACAAAAAAAATCATTTATGATTAATACAATACTAATAACGCCATATACCATGAATTGCGGTAAATAAAAAAAAAACTCCATGTCCTTTTCCAGATTTGCAAAAGAGTTGTGAAAATATCCACAACGATAACCGAAAAATTCATTCCGTGGAAACGAAAAGATATAAAAAGCCCTAGAGCTCTAATAGATCATTCAGTAACAATTCTCACCACGTATCCGACAGGAGACTTCTTTTGAGCCATATCAAAAAGTTGTTCCATTCTACCCATTTTCGCTAACCCTTCTATAGTCCACAGATGTACCCTCAAAACCAAACTGTTTAAAATCATAACATAACTACCAATAACAAGAAACCCGACAACAGCTTGACAAACTGAAAGTGAGAAGAGTGGGTATGCATACACTGGGCCTATGCTAGTCGTTATGCCGAAGTGAGTCATATATGACTTATTGACATACGACCGCTACGGCCGGCGTGAATCGTACATGACTCGTTTTTTTCTGGCCTACTTCAGTGCAAAGTATTTCCGCTACACATTTGTATTAAATTAATGGCCTCCAAAGCGATGCACCAGTTACTGTAGCGAAAAATTCAAACAAAGAGCTGTAAAATCAAAGTCAGGTTAATCATTCAGCAGATTAGATCGTCCCCACTGACTGCAGGTATCAATAAGGAAATTTACTTGTACAAAAACATAACCTACTGCTTATCCGACAATTTTGCTTGGTGCTTTAATTGAGCAATTTTCTGCGCATCAGCCGCGTGTTCTATTACCGTCTGACGAATTGTCATATGCTCTTGACCCCGTTCCAGTTGTCCTGGTTCGAATGCCGCCTAAACTCTTCTTTTAGGACTCAAAGCCTTGTTGAGACAAGTTTTCTTTCGGAAATAAAATTCCACAATCGCGCACGTTCGTTTCCGTACAGGGTTCCAAAAAATTGCAGAATTCAACAAATGCTGTCTTATCAAAGAGAATAGAATTGCGTTCAATTAGATAACGGAATTCATTCTCAGACTACTTCAATACTTGGCGATTGACAAACGTCAAGGAGTCGAATTCTGTTCACTTAAAGTCCACATTTTATCCACCTATTTATTCCAGTACCATTTTGACATACTATGAGAGAATAACACTCGGAATTAATCCAACGGCTTCCTCCCTCTCTCTCTCACACACACACACTCCCACTCACATTTACTCTCACTCTCACTCTCTTCTGTAAAAAAACGAAAGAATACATCGAATATACGATGCCATCTATGCAAAGGAAAGAAAGTGTTTACTTATTTATGCTACTTACCAAATCAGTAAGTAACTCTTCCACACCTTTGTCACCCATATTTCGAGCAGCTTCTTTTGCCCTTCTCAGTGAATTTAATCGGTCATTTGGCTGAAAAGTATTGTCTTTATCTTGATATCCCGTTTCACATGTACATGAAGATAAAACTACTGTTTGAACATACTTTACTTCATATTCTATTTCTAACTCGAACTCACAATTATTTCGTTTTCGGCTGCGTCCAAATGAAACATTATCTGACGTTCAAAGTCGCTAGCTTGTTCGAGCAAAGCGAGCATCATCTTTCCAGAACCACGTTCGCTTTCTTGGCGTACTAAGTCTTGGTACAAACATTGCGCCTGAGAATTAAATAACACTCAGGAGCAGATCACATAAGATCCTGAAAGAATAGTTAAGGTGCGACAACCAACCAAAGGAATCTTTCGAATGGCAAGCTCGTATTCTGCACGCTTTTGCCCTTTCATTAAGTGACGAATGACCTGGTGCATCAACTGTGGACGCTGCGCAGCAGCTGCTTTAGTTAAAGCTTCTTGTACATCGCCCAATTGCAACAACACGTAAACCTATATCGGAAGAAAATTCAATGGGTATGAAATATTGTCACAGCCAAAAAGTAGAAATCTAGCTTATCTTCCAATAAAGATGTTTGCTTGCCTCCTCACTATTCAGTAACCAAAAACAAACGAGATAACAGTTCCTTACTTTTTATTTACTGCTGATTCTTTTTTTCTCCATAGTAGGGCACGATGTGAAATAAAACCATAGGGATGCTGAGATATTTGCAAAACTCAGACCCCCGACCAGCTTCGAACCTTTTCCAGGTGCTCATTTGTTACCCACTCCACCACCAAGGCCTTTGCTTTGCCTTTCTCTCAGCCATCTTTTTACTCTCTCGGTAGTACCAGCAATCACCTGTCAACGAGAATAATCTGGAGAACTCCCAGTAAAATCAATCGCGAGTTCGAAGCGCAAATGAGGTTCCGAGTTTTGCTCATATCTCAGCATCCATGCAGCTATGAACAATAAGGATAACAAAGCGGTCCTCCTTTAATTGCTCTTTGAAATTCGTGACTTGTTTATATTGCAAAAGATGAATTTGGATGCTGATTAGAAGTTATTTGTCACAATATGAAACGGTGAAAACTTTACCGAAATATTATACCTTTTTATTTTCTTCCTACTATAATTTCGCGGCAGGGTACTAAGCGAAATACAACCACAACGTTGCTGAGATATTTGCAAAACTCTGGACCGCAGGTGTCTATGGTGGGGAACGAACGCGCTACTGTTCTTTCCGGGGAGTAGCGCGTTCACCACCACACCATGCGGGTCCTTTGTTTCACCTATCTCTCAGCTATTTCTACCGATCTTTCGGTCCAGAGTTTTGCAAATATCTCAGCGACGTTGTGGTTGTATTTCGCTTAGTATCCTGCCGCGAAATTATAGTAGACAGAAAATAAAAAGGTATAACATTGTGATTTCAACTACAGCCGCAGTTTAACTGGGTTCTATGCCGATTTGAGCGCCCCAGATCAATCCCGCTGACGGGTGATTGCTGTGGCAAAGATCGATAGAAATAGCTGAGAGACAGGCGAAACAAAGGACCCGCATGGTGTGGTGGTGAACGCGCTACTCCCCGGAAAGGACAATAGCGCGTTCGTTCCTCACCATAGACACCTGCGGTCCAGAGTTTTACAAATATCTCAGCAACGTTGTGGTTGTATTTACCGAATGCAAAAACTGACTAAATCACCAAAACGCTTCAACTACGGGGCTAAACAGTGGAAAAGACGATTCAGTTGAAATAATAAAGAGCCAGAAAAACCCCGTATATGAGTACTAACCTGTTTAGCGTCGTCTTTCTCCCTTTTAATCAACAATCGGGCCAGTTTAGGAAGTTTTGCATCAATCGCACGCTTTGCAGCATCTATTAAATGTATGACTTAATCGAATTAGTCCTTAGACTTTCCAAACGAAAAGTGGAAACAGCAGATATGGCACAAACACCGCGTTTTGAAGACTTCACTAAATCTGAATCATGTGTTTTCTTACCTGCTAAAGAAACATGTGGATAACACAGAAGCTTTTGCGCAATTTTCTCATCCAAAGCCTCCATATTCAACTCACGAATATTAGCAGAAGAAGCGACTTTACTTATAGTCCGACGTACCTAGAAAAAACGTAAATTGGAGCTCAGTGTTGGAAAGTTACTGGTAACGAACACTCGAAGATGATCAAACTTCCTCCGTAAAGAGATTTGTGCTTACCCATTCGAGTAATACACGATCTATCCCTTCTTGCTGCTCTCTTCCAAGCCATGAGCATATTTCGGCTGCCAAACCATACGCACCTATATCGATAAGCCGATTGACAAGGCATGATTCTCCTAGTTCTCGTAATCTGAAATCACAGTGACTTACAATAATATCAAAAAAACTTCACCACTTACTCACTGAACACTAGTTATCGGCATGCCTATTCTTTCGCGGTGCAGCTCGTTGAGTACCCTCAGTTCCCGAAGCGTACGAACAAAACGTGTGGAGTCGAAACCAGTAGAGAAAGCCATACCAAAGTGAGATGCCTGAAAAAACACACAAGCACCTAGACACACCGTATTTGTTTTCGAAGCACTTTGTAAAAAGTACCTTCAACAATACTTTCTGCATTTTTGGTGACCATGTTGAGAAAGCTGTCGAGATACACTGATCAATTGCCACAGAGATATCACAAATCTTGAAAAACGAGAACTTCGGAATGAATACCACGCTTGCTTTATGACCATGAAAATATCGATGGTAAAAACAACTCCCCTCCTAACGATTTACCGTATTACCATGGCTGGTAGGCATTCCTGGGTGTTAGGCTGCGATGTACAGCGGGGACGTTCGTCCCGCAGTAGGGTCTCCTAGGCTTAGTTCGGCGTTTCCATTAAGAAGTCCAGTGAAAAGTAAACCAATGCCAGAGTCCACCATGGTCCTGCTATCAAACCAATCCCATGGTGGCAAATCTCCTTCTGATCCACAAAGGTGGCGAGTGCCTGTGGTGGTGAAGACCAGGGGCACACTTTGGCTCGGCTGACCTCGGGACTACAAGGAATCATAATGACTAAACCAGTGAAACCCCAGAAAAAAAAGAAATTATGCTGCGGCCTGCACAACCAGTTACGATGGGCCAAAGAAGTATCCAGGTAAGTGAATATAACCCCGTAACACAACCCACCTGCATAGCATATTCGTACGACTTATGACTCTTATTACTATCCAGCCATTGTGCAGCTTCATATAATAGGGCACCGTCGGATGTGGAAGCAACACCAAGCACAGCTACCTCATCATCTGTAGACAATGATGAATTTAGAAACGCTTAAGAAATTACATTCGCAATACATTTGAATGAGCACAAAATGAGAGCCTCAAAAACATTTACTTGAGCGTCCTTCCTAACAACTTTTCTACTAGCACTTGCAATTTCAACCGTGAATAATTTACGCAAAATTGGGGCATGCTGTGCAGTGGTTAGAGGTATCTTGCAATGCACACATAGTCGATCGCTCGACGCCGCACCCAATTTTCCATCCCCCGGGATCAGGAAATTGGTACCGAACTTGCCTAGGAGGATAGCAGCACTGACGTGACACACTAACAGCCCAGCGGAAGAAACTGTATAGGGCGGGCATGCGTCCAACCACGTCTAACAATCCTTCATAAAGTCAGAAGTATGGCACATCCTTTAGTGATTGCCCAAGGCCTAAAGCTTTATGCTTTATTCTCTGACAACCACGCCTAATTTTATATGGCGTCTGCACGAGATTACGGTTAGTTTTCGTTGCACCCAGTGTGCACAGAACTAAGTGCGTAGGGACCCCAAAAGGCGTCAAACATTTTTGTATACTTCACATCATAGTTCGATTTTTCCATGTGTTCCATCTTTCACTTCTGTGGCTTTTAAAATTACTGAATGAAGGAAGATTTCAAAGACTACCTTTGGCACTGCATGTACTGAACAAGCTGTCAAGTCAGTGAAAAGAGTAAAATAAAAAAATTGTTGTAAAATGAGCAGCCGAAAAGAAAACGCACCGAGATCGACGTACGTGGTCTAACCGACCTTACGTTACTATTAATATCAATGCATACTGTCATCAACAACGCGTGTGGCGCAGTGGTCGGAGGCGCCCTGCGACACATACATGGAATCGATCTCGCGCCCGTGGCTCACCAAGCCTTCCGTTCCTCCGGGGTCGGCGAATTGGTACTAGACTTGTCTGGGAAGAGAGCAACACTGGCTCGATACATCAGTAGGCGCGTCATTGTAGAGGCCAGATATGCATTCAATCACCTCCAAACAATGCTTAATGAAGTCGAATGGATGGCGCACCCTTCATGGATTGATCAACGCCGCCAGCTTTTCTCTACTGTAGCATACATGATAATTAGTTGCAAATAACAAACATTGCACGAGAATACAAACACCTATCTTCACTCAATATTATTCACGTTGTACCCAAAAAACAAAGTACTTACGCGAAACGGGACTGAGAAACTCCACTTCCGTATCTGTATAGAGTTTGATCCCATCACATTCAACACCTATTTGTACAAACTCTGTGTACAAACTGAAATTAACAGAACTCAGAAATATTCAATTCTTAATAAACAACATAAGCAACTTCACAATAAATTCCTTAAAAAAAGCTTTCTAATCAGTAACTGCAACAGCCATCGCAAAAAGTTTACAGACAAACGTTTTCTGCATAACTCCGGACATTAAATTGTCGAGAAGCTTATTTCTGGTCAACGTGACCGCTATTTTGAAGGAATAAGTGTTTTGCAATGTTATCTGATCAACCGCATTTCATTCAACAGCAACAGTAGTCAGCAGCTATTTTCTAATGTGATGCATGCAAAATTTGTCGTCGTCATCAACAGTAGAGATTATTGTGTACATGCGAGGACTCGGCTATTCCAGTTCATGAGGTCTGTAGTTCCCTCTCCAAAGACATAATAAATACTGCTCGGACGTACATTTCCCTGTAATCCTTATACCATCACTCAAAAATGTTCACAGGCTTTCACCACAGGCAACTGCTGCCTCTTGCACGTCGGAATAAGGTCTCCTGCTTTGCAGCTACGATTCTTCCAGGACGGCAACAGTCATGATTTATAAATCGAATGGTTAAGGAATATCTAACGTGACGAATTTGTGGAGTCGATATCATAAGCAAATCGCGAACCTGTTTTAGTCCGCCAGCACCCCACTATCCGTTCATAAACGTAATCCACGTTTTCATTTTTAAAGATTAACAAAAACTAAGTCATAAAACTCAAAGACAAAGTAGTACTGCTAATGAATAAAGACGCGTATAATCAACCTACTCATAGTGTGTATTTTCATCACGAACGCTGAATAATTGAAGGTGAGTAGGTGTTCGTTGCAAAAAAAGAGCATCCATTCCTACCCAACCTAGTCGATAAATTGATTGGTCACCAGGAACTGAGATGCGGGATATCTGCTTCGATAGATCTGCTGTGACTACCTTAAATGTATCAAAGCCTTATCTTCAACAAAGAAGCTAGAACAGCAACTATTAGAAACCTGGATTAGCCGCGACGAATGATATAACGCTACAAACGAGTGGTCAGCGCTAACCACCATTCGCGCATATTGACCATCTGTTTCGGAGAATGGTGTATCCTACAAATTGAATGCACCGAAGCCATGCTTTCAAAAATCAACAACTGCCAGTAACTTACAATTAAACTCAGTTGTTCGCCTTGACACCCAGAATAGAATGTTACCCCGTAGGCAACAATCACCTGCGTTAACTGCGATCGTGGCTGTAAAACTGTCCAAGTACTAGGAGGTTCCTTGCTGGCTATAAAAGTAGACGAGTCATCTTTAAATTTTACTACGACTCTTTACCCAAATGGAAGAAGCAAAAAAGTTTCGCGGTTGATAACACTTAATACACAGAATATCCCAACCTATGGCATTAGAGATGGGGAATGGAAGAACTACATCGAGATTAGGAAAAACAACCAAGAATTCTAGAAAAACATATCCTGCTATATTTTGCAGACTTTTAAATATGTCTAGCATACTCCAATCGTACAAATGACATGACTTACGATTATGCATACTCCAAACGATAGGCTCGTTGACTGAGTTCACAACAAATATCCTCATCTGATCGTCTACAACTGCAACGCCTGAATCGCGCGCACTGGGAAATATTCGCACATCACGAACTTCCCCAATTTCCTGCACAGAGATAGAAAGCGTTGTACTTCTCGATAGTTTATCACCGTTACTTATAATTAGTTGGTAGGAGCCTACTAACATTTCCAAAATGGAACTCGGAGATATGTTCACCCAGAGCGGAGTACAATGATACGTTTCCACGACGATCCATGACGAGAAGGCGATGACCTAAAGGTAGAATGACAAGGATATATTAATCGCGATACTCGCCGATTCCGTTAAGAAAAGCAAAACGCACAATAAAGAGGTTACGACAAGACCATTTCTCACAGGTTAAAATTCTAAACAATCGTAAAAAAACAGTAACTCAAAAACCTCTTCATAATGTTACTGAGTAAAAGTGTAGACGAGAGTAGTGTTCGAAACGTAGTCCACCACAAAAAAGTGTCATTTTTACATGTCGCTAGTACCAGCTGTATCACCTGTGGTCCTACTGAACGTCGTGGACTGATTCGAGAGGGCACCACTAAATATTCCATTCTTCCCTGCCGCGTTCAAGACCGGCCTAATGGGTTCTGCTCGCTCTAGGGGGTCATTGGACATCAAATCTTTCTTCTAAGGCTTCCATAGAGAACTTCCATAGAGAACCACCGGGCTAGTGGTCCTCCTGCTATACGTTTGACATTCTGAGGATTCCAGTCGCTAGTGGCTCTTGTACATCGGTTGCTGTTCATACGCATTACGTGGCGTCTCACTTTATCTTCAACAATTTGGCATACAGACGACGCCTTTGATTCTTGATCGTTGGAGTAAGCCGGAGCTTCGGATCTCGTCCCTCGAATGCGTCAACGGTGAACTCCTAACATCATCCTTCCAACTGTGCATTCTACAACGCTGAGTGATCTTTCACCCTCGTTACATAGCGAACAGGCTTCCGAAGCAAACATTAAGGTGGGCAGAATAGTGGAGTCGAAAAGATGGACACAGAGGCGGGCGTTCTGCCTCCTCTTAACAATATCCTTGATGATCTCTAAAGCTCCCTAAGCCGCTCGCTTCTTCCTCCTCAACCCTGGAGCTAGGTCGCTGGTCATGTAGATTTCTCGACCTAGACAGACCTAACTAGATCATTTGGAGATACTCATTCCATTGAGGGGGAGTGTTAGCTCTATTGCAGAAGAGTCGACTCGATACGACAAAAAACACACCACATCGAGAATATGAACGACTGTAGAACATCGATTGGGATCGACTCTGAGAAAGATGAAGACGTTGAAACAGCCGGATAAACCTTTTTATCAACCTCGCGTTAGCTTAGTAATCAAAGAAGGTATTGACTACCAGTGCCCAGGTTAAATGTTCGTCGGTTACAAAGAGATCAAATAAGTGTTTTATCCTCCCAGGCAAGCACAATACCAATTCGAAGACCTCTGAACGATTGAGGGTTTGGTTTACACAGACCGCAGTTTCGGACCAAGACCACGTTTCCATTGCAGACAACCTCCAGCCACAACGCTACATGCGATTGACATATATATGTATAATTGTATATATGCATACGTATACATATGTATATACATATCTATACGTACATTTGCATTTACACATACATGCATATATATGTGTTTTATATGGCCCATCATCACATCTACTCTGCGGATGCCAACACTTCCCGCACTCTTTTCGTTTTTCTAGCACTCATCACCCCCAGTGGTCTTCAAACACTTCGCGTGTTGCTTCATTTGGTGCTCGAGAATTTCGTTTTCTTCATAATGTTGTAGGACGTCAGTCGAGTCAAATCCCCTTGCAACCTTGGAAATAGCAGGGGTAAGGCGTTTCCACGTGAATTAGAGGACAGCGTTGGGGAGAGGAGAGAACTAGAGCCTTTGCTTCCTAATAGACGGCATCATTAACCACCGCGCTCCCCCCCTTCCTCCCATGTAAATGTGTGTACATATGTATGTATGTATGTGTGTATGTATGTATGTATATATATACGTATATACGTACATGATTGTATATCTACAGCTATATGTATGTATATACAAGTCGGTCGGTCAGAATGTAGGTCGTGGGAAGCACACATATGTACATAACATACCTTTGGTCCACTCAAGAGCGAATACGTCTGGCACTTCGATTCTTTCCTTTAAGTAGACTCCTCCACTCATTACAATGTTGATGAACCAAGCCGTAGTAGAAGTCGAAAATGCCAAGGCTTAAAAAACAGGCATAACATTGCTCGAAAGAAAATTTTGAAACGTACCAAGAGGACCAGAATAAGTGCACGCCGAGAAATGAATCGCATGCTTAATATTTAGTGACGATAAACTTTTATAATTTTTCACGAATCTGCAATGAAATTGTTAATCCAACTATCTTTGGAACAAAACGTATAGAAAAACGCACTTGATCTTAACGTCACCGATACTAACCCAATTCGTTAACGTGCCATCGTTGACACTTCTTCGACTTGTCATCTCAAAGGCATGGACCCGACAACGAATGAAGGCCTTTCCAAGTTCAACTAAAAACTACTCATTTGATTTCTTTACCTTCTAGACCTAAATGTTTGTGAAAACCAGAATTAGCAAGGATAGGCAAATACAATTACAAAGAAATAAATCGTTTAAAACAAAAATCCATACTTTATAATTCTCCGTATCCAGGGTTCATCAGCATTGGCAAACTGGACTGGATTCCAGAATTCCAACAGGGAACCTGTGTATTGAAATACAGACAATAGAGCAGTGAAGTTGAAAGTTTAAAAGTAATTATACAGTAGGTGACACAATAAAACCGAAAAAAAAACAGCTATACGATAGATAGTAGATAAAAATCTATAAAATTCACTCTTATAACAGTCTTTACAATGCTTTAACGCGGAATTCGAGATTAAAAACTGTTGATGACAAACACTAAAAGCAGAAGCAAACACAAAAGCTTATGAGAGCTTAGTCCGAGTAACTTAGAAGTTTCTTAACGGAATGTGTTCCACGAATACCATGTTTCTGTTTAACATCTTCAAAATATCCTTATAATACTGTAAGCAATAGAAAATCCTACAAGAACTGTAAAGCAAAATGGCAAAGTATTACAATACAGATTCACGACAGGGACATCATTCACTGAAAAGAAAGGTCTCGCTATAAAGGAACTACCAATCGTCATTACATTCCTGATCCAACTTAGAGCATTGGACAATTTTCTTCTGCTGCTGCTCGGTGTTCGATTTCTCAATTTTCAGTACACCAGAACGTGCCAAACGATTCTCTAGAGCCTTAAATATACGAAATAGATGGATGAATAACAGAAACACGCGTTCATCGTGTACGAACCTCAGTGCTAAAATTATCGACTCCTCCTAGATCGTCGAAACCTCTAATGTAATCGATGGTTTTTTGCTCCTTTACTATCGCGATCGTAGGAATCACACGAATATTCAGACGAGTAACAAGAAAACAGACCTTGATGTGGAAAAAGTTATACAGAATTTACGAAACAAAGAGGGAAGGCTTTCACCTTTTCAGCATTGACGTGAATAAAACGAGTTCCAAAATGTTTAGTAGCAAGAATATTTAGATGCTTGTCAACTATTTTACACCTGGAATATAAATATACTTAGAGAAACCCCGAATAAACTTCGTGTCTTTATCCCCGCTTTCTATTTACTGCATATTGTTTTTCCAATGGCTTACAGGTCAATAACACGGCAGAGAGAAAGGTGAGACGAAGGAATCGAATGGTGTGGTGATGAACGCGTTAGACCTCGGAGAGGATAATAGCGTGTTCGATCCCCACCGCAGACAGCTGCGGTTCGGAGTTTTGCAAATATCTCAGCATTATTGTGGAAATACCTTTATTTGAAATGGAAAACATATTGACATACCTCAAATTACCGTTCAGATAGAATAAGCATACAACATGTTTGCTCTTCTTCGTTGCTTCAAAGAATTCCTTTTCATCGGCTACTTCGTCGTACCTTCCGTGACCAAGCGATAGCATCTCCTACATGGGAAGAGAGAAAGGAACTCTTTCCACACAAGCCTAACAAATATTCGTGCTAGAAAACCTCACCGCCTTAGTTTTCTGCATTCTCTTAAGTTCTTCCATACGACGACGACGAATCAAATCTATCTCATTTTCATCCATATTGTCAAGACTAAAAACACCAAGTTTCTCACAGATGGACGAAACCACTGCAGATACGGATGCATACTAAAAGCTGGACATTCTTACCGATTGATCTCTTTATCGACCTGCTCCTCCATAATCTGTGCGGCTTTCATAAGCTGAGCGCTAAGTTGGTCACTAATATCAATCCCAGCCATTACTAAGAAACCTGACTCGAGTATCTGGAGCCTTATAGATTTTCGCAAAAACACAGAAAGTACGAACTTCCTTCAGTCAAAGGGAGCTTTCTGCTGTAGTAAGAAATTGCATAATCGACTGAAAAAAGTGCATATTGACGAAATACTACACGTCTTAAGAAAGGTATCAAAAAGCTAAAGCAAGAGTAAGAGCAACATTAACTTGAATTCTATCAATCTCATACGATAGTATACAATTTCTGCACTCCCATTTTAAGGACGTCTATGTTCCGCAAACACGGTAGCTCAGTTGGACCAAGTGAAATGAACGAGGTTGACTATGTTAACTATGTATTTACTACCTATCACTATTTTTCACATTTAGCGTAGTGGTCAGGGCTGCCCTACAATATATATGGGATCTATCGCTGCTCCGCAGGTTCACCAAGGCCTCTATCCCTCGGGAGTCGGCAAATTGCTACTACTTGTTTGGATGTGTAGGAACATTGGCTCGATACATCGGTAGGTCACTGCGGGTCATTGTATAGGGCAGACATGCCTTCAGTCACCTCTGACGATGCTACGGATGTAGTCGAATGCATTGCACATCCTTCAGGGATTCATCGACGTCTGGAGCTCTATCCTTTATCCTTTATTATTTTTCACGGCAGAGTATGATGTGAAATACAACCACGTTGATTCTGAGATATCTGCAGAGCATGGACCACAGGCCACAAATATAAAGGATAAAGCTCTCGGCGTTGAGCACTTCCTGAGGAATGCACCTTACGTTCGACTTCGTTAAGCATCGTCAGACGTGATTGAATGCATATCTATTCTTTAACATTACTCGCTGTGACCTACCGATGTATCGAGCCAGTGCTGCTATACTTCCAGTCAAGTCTGGTACCAGTATACCGACTCTGGAAGGATGAAGGATTTGGTGAGCTGGGTCATGTGGACCGATCCTGTGTGCATACGGCGCCTCCGACCACTGCACTGCGCGCGCCCCTATGTAAGCCATGCTGACTTTTTTATTTTATCCTTCTTTATAAAGCGGTTATTTTTCAATTTATCCATTTTTCTATGCTTGTAGCTTCTGTCTCTTAGTTAAGGTAGGTCACCTGAGGCAGAGATGCGGATTGAAACTTGCTACTTCTGCTCATCTCCCATTTATCCCGGTCACGGAATTCAGTTTGTAAGAAACGACTCCACAGTTAGTTGTAAGACGTTTCCACCCACATAGTTTTACATTCACATCAATATTTCGAATTAAGATATTCAAGTTTTGTCGGTCAAAGTGCAACAAGCTGTTCAAGAAGAAACGTAATCCAAGAAAGCTTCGCTTCACCAAAGCGTCCCGTCGTGCCCGTGGAAAGGTGTGAATGTTATTTTCAATTAAACTGGCCTCACTTATAGATGTATCCAAGTGGTAATACCTCAGTATTTGGATATTTACTAGATACTTGGATATCCAGTCCTCACTGGTTCTGCGGCCTCCAGCATAATTTCCATTTTTCGGAGTTTTGCTGTTTTAGCCATTGTGGTTCCCTACAGTGCCGAGGTCATCCTGCCCAAAATCTGCCCTAAGTCGTCACCACCGCATGCAGTCGTCCTCCATGTTGATCATTGGGGAAATTACGACCATGCGAGTAGTTTCATACCAGGACGGTGGTGGATCCTGATATTGGCTTACTCTTAGCTGGGTTCCTGATGGGAACGCCGGCCTCCCTCTTAGCTTGCGAGACGCTGATGAGGGATGGAATCCTTGGCTGTACATCACAGTGCGACACCCAATAACACCTAGCCACGATGAGGCTGTGCACCGTTGGGAGGTTCAGTGTTTCTCTGTGTCTGTCAGCAATATCACAGGTTATAATTGATGAAGAACAAGTTGGACCATATTTGTGCGTTTGCCATAATAGTCGTCTTGCTTTTTTAAGGAACTTATTAACGACGTAACACAACTTATGGAACAGCGAAGAGATGTACCGGTAAAATATGAGCGTGAATTATTTAAGAACACAGTAGAAGCTGCTAAGGTGGTGTCAACGATCAAACATAAGAGGTATGCACTTTCCCAGTTTTGTTTCCTCGTTCTGGGTTATATCTCATCTTGTCCTTCTTTGCTGAAGCACATTCCATCTTATTAGTTATTACCAGACCACGTGCTTTCGAGATAAATTGGTCGAAGGATTAATTTAAAGGAAACTGGCTCATCAAAGAAGAGAAAGGAACTATTGCTGCAATAAAATGCGACTGCGAATTTTCTAGCTGTTTTTTGAAATGTTCTATTTAGTTTTACATATTTACAAATGATATTTAACGTCTTTGTTTTCTTAAGGTACGCCAACCTTATTCGAAAATCCCTGCAACCTGGTAAAATTGTGAAGAAGGTTGGTATGATCAAGAAGGCTGAGACGAAGTTGCATCTTCTCAGGGCCCCTGTGGCCAATAAATTGCCAGGCAAACAAAAGCAAGAGCAAAAGGAGCAAGCTATGGAACTTAATTAAGCTTACTTCACATTAGTATTATGGCAGCGTTCATTGTTGTCTTCTTTGTTCTGTTGTTCTGAAATTAGTTACCATTATTGGTATAATTCTCCCTTGTTGCTCGTTGGCACTGTATGGTGGTTTTGTTTCGTTTGAGCGTATGACCTTGTTAGTACGCCAGTTTAACTAATTCTGTTATACAGTGTCAGATTTTGTGTTCTATACGTGATAAACTCAGTTGTTTTTCCGGTTAGTGTTCTATTCGTGGTATGTTGATAGAAACATCAGTATATGAACTTGACATCTTCGTGTTTCTGGTACTGCTTCGGTGCAACATTTCTATGAAAAGGGATGATATCGTTCTCGTTAGATGCAAGAGTTGATTTGTTGCGTAGTGTCACAATGTCTATATTCTCTCTTAAAGGTGAACTTGATGTCCAAACATTCCAATGAAACTCTGATCACAGACAATTTGGAATCTCTAAGAGAGGATGAAATATTCGTAGACAGTGAGACCGGCAAGAAATATCGCGTAAGGAAAGCGATTCTACCACATTATTCATCAGGAGGACCACATGGACTAGGTGCGTCTCACACATTCCTATTGTTTATACTTTTTTTTGAACATGGGTTGAATCTCGGAGGTGAGGAAGTAGTTGTAAGTGGTACCTTTATATAATGCGGGTCATTCCGGTGATACTAAGTGATAGAGCTACTCAGAAGGGCGTCAACAAGTGGTGTACATGAGTAATAGGATGTATGCTGATAATGAATTGATATGGTAAAACATTATATATAGTTACTGAGCCACAAGTGTATAGATGATCTTTCATCTGAGTTTATTTATTGTAGATGAATTTCTGCATTACATACTTAATTGGATACTTGTATGACAATTCTTCACTGGTGGTGCGGGCCCCAGAATGATTTCCATTCGTTTACCTCTCGGCAATCGTCGTCCATGGTGGTGGCGTCCATGGTGGTGGTCAGGTTCGAACATGGTGAAGTCCACGAGCTCCACTCCATGGTCCAGAAATCGTTGCCATCTGCGAATGCAGATCGCTGTCGTTAGCCACGAACATCTCCACCCATTGTTTGGGTGATCTTCCAAGAAGACGCTTGCATTCTCTTGAAATGCACTCCACTGTTCTTTTCGTCATCTTTCATGTGTTCTTATCATGTGACCAACCTATACGTGTTCCCCTATTGATATGCATTCTTCTGGATCCCGAAGTTGAGATAGGCTTCGAATATCTGAGCTGCGCATTACGGTTAGAGGTTGTGAGTGACGGGCGGTTAAATTTTAGAAGACATCGCTTAAGCGCTCTGTCGGTGGTGTGCAGGTTTCTTGACTTGACTTGGTCAAAGTATCAGCTCATGTATCTGCTGCACAACATAGCGCTCGAAAGACCAATGAATCGATAAGGTGAGTGCGGAGTTTTGGATCAGGTAGTTGGTCGGTGGCCTCTCATAGGTAGGTCCAAATGCTGGCAATGTAAACGCTGCTGCAAAGATCTTCTGCAAATGGCATTTATTATCAACCATATTACATGTGTTGCATAATTTCAAACTTCTATTTCCTTCTCTCTTCGGGAAACTCAGTCGTAATTGAGATCCGGTATGGAATTCTTGTTTGAGGAACTGCAACGAGTCGGCACAAGTAATTCTTGGTCGACTTATCATTAATCTTTCAGCCGTATGAGTAAAGGGTTTTATAGAGAATATTCGTCATCGAGAGCAGCTTCGGGGTGAGGGAATTAGGCTCACTTATTTTATTGTGTTTAGCATTTAATACCCACCTATAGCGCACTCAGCTGTGAACATGGGGCTAAATATAATCATATGCAGGTTGGCTGCCTCTCTCAGTATAGAGGAGGAGTTTATTTGTTGGATACGACACTAATGCCCTTCCATATACTTCCCAGTCACTTGGTTGCAGAGTTTCTCGTAGAATACAGTCCGCCTAAACGAGAAACACACGCACGCACGTGTACGTGAATATGTTTTCTAACCATAAAAGGTATGTATTAAATCAGCGCTGTAGAAATAGGGAGTCCATACACTGCATCCAGCTGAGTCTCAGGGAGGCGGTCGCCCCTGATCCGTGATTAAGCAACCGTCCGCTACTTGGGCACGTGCGACGTCGCCCTGCGACAGACCGGCATGAGATGCCCTCTGCGAGGGAGATCCGTGGTCTATAAGGGAAATCCGTAGCTACGAGGGAGGTTTTTGAGCTATACGGAAATTTTACAACCGAAATTTCACCATTTCATAGCGATAATAACTTTGACGTCAAAAGAGTGGTTATGGAAGGCGGTACTATCTCGCCAAAATTGTTTGCTGTCATTCTCGACAATATCATGCGAACTTTGGAATGGGACAAAATTGAAGAGGAAATCGGTGGTTGGCAATTACACCGTCTTCTCCTTGCTGATCACATCGTTCTTATAACATCAGACATTAGCTAGGCGGAACGAATGTTTGCCGATAAATTTGATAAAGCCTATGGAAAAATTGGTCTTCTACTAAATCTTATGAAAACGATGTTCATGAGGAATGAATTAGTTTCGTGTTTCAGTTCACGCTTGTCGGGACGAATATACCTGATTACTCTAGTTACGTCCATCTAGCTAGAGAAATCAACATGATGAGCGACTTAGCTCCAGGTTTCAACAAGAGGAGACAAGTGGCTTTTGGAGCTTTCATAAGTATCGAGAGTACAGTGAGGAGAACGAAAAACTGCCAAATTCATGCCCATCTTTCCGACTGCACGCTTCTTTCTGCTTAAAGGAGTGCGTCAGAAAGCTGGTCGCCACGTAAGCAGGATGAAATATCACCCAGCGTAGTAGAACGCGTAGTGGAAACGACGATGCTAGCAGTATCCCGTATCACGCAGGTTAGGAAGAGGACCGAAGCTTCGAATCACGTCAACGATCAGAAATCGTCGTTTCATTCCGTAATGCGTGTGTACTACAACCGATGCACACGAGCCCTTGGCGACTGGATTCCTCGGTGTCAGAGAATGTCAAAAGCACAGTAGGAAGCCACCGAACCCATGGTCAGAGTTTTTCACGAGCACTCTAGAAGAATCATGTGGTGCTCAACTAGTCCTTAGAGCGAATAGAACCCACTGGACTGATCTTGCACCCGACAAGGAAAAGTGCAAGATTTATTGGCACGCGCTCAAGTCACTTGACCATCATCGAGATGACAAGTGGTACAGGTGACACTTGTTCTATGCAACTTATTCTGTTTTTCTTGGACGATAACAGGAGGTCTTTTCCAATTTCTAACTGGGTCGAATTTTTCTTACGAGGAGGGCAGTGGTCAGTTCGAGTATAGAATCCAGACATCACTGAGGTGTCAAAGAGGTACTATTTTCTGTGTGAGAATATGATGAACCTCCGCATAAGTTGTGTAATTAGGAGACTCCTATTTCCATCTCTGATTTTTCCCCTTCTCGAAGATTATTTTCCATGGAGCAGACGTGCTGCCGTCAGTAGTCATAAAAGACGGTTCCCGTTCTCATTTCATTCTCATATTCCAAATTTCGGTATCCTGTTTTCGTTTTCCATTTGCTGTTTATAATCTGGCATTGAAGTCTCCAACAATGAATTTATGGGAGAACTTCTCATTGAGGATAACTTTCTCTATCTGTTTGTTGAACGCGCCCTGTTCACTGTCATCATCCGTGCACATTGCTAAATAGCATTCAGTGGTTCGCCCTTTCTTTTGACATGGAAGTTGGAGACGAATAATAGCCAACCACAGTGAAAGGAATTCGTATAAGGTGACCACATAATAGATAATTGTACGACAAAACGTACTCCACTGACATTTCGTAACGGAAATTTCTCTCCATGAATGACAACAGTTCCATCATCTCGGCTTATGTCGCTCTTCCTGCTTTTCCTCACTTGAAGGGCGATCGCTTTGAATTTGATGCGACCAGACGCCTTAAAAAGAGTGTAAAGTCGGCTTTTGAAGAGATTATTCGGTGTTGTAGGTGCAAAGCAAGAAGTAGTCTCTATGGAGTGTTGTTGGCTTGTTCGTTTTGTCCGTTTCCAATGACGTCCTGTGCAACAAAAGACTTGATTGCCTCTCACCGATTGTCTCATCATCCGACGTCACAGACGGGAGATCCTGGTGTACCGGATTCTGGAGATGATGCTTTGGTAGCTTAGCCAGTGCAGTTCGCTGGAGTCCTAAGGCCAGTCTAGTCGAAGCTTTCTTCAAGTCGTCACCACCGCAGGCAGTCGACGGTCCTTGTGGATCAAAGGAAGATTTTTCACCATACCACTAGTTTGATTCATGACGGTGGTGAGACCTGATACTGGTTTATTCTTAGCTGGCCTTTCGGGTGCAAATATCATACTCCTCAGCCTGGGAAGTGCTGCTGGGCGGATGAAACCCTACTGTAGAACGAAGTCCGACGCCCAAGAAGATCTTGCCGTCAGGATGAAGAGCTAAACCTCTAGACATTCGGTATTTCCATGGTCGACCACAAACCACGCATGGGTATACCATTGACTCAAGTTGCTTCTTTATTTTTACAGAAACGATATTCAGAAACAAATCGTTACTTGGATTACCGAGTCTTACACTTTGAACCGTACTCTAAAGAGTCAGTGGCTTAAAGTAGGGTCCGATTATTAGGGCTTCGACGATTTGGCACAGTTGAAGTATGATATAAAGCAAATCCCATGGCCGAATTTCTATCTCAGCTTTCTATTGTGATATAGAGCATTTGTTCCCGTTGTAATCGCTTAAGTTCTCAATAGAAACTGTCAACTATTTTACACGCGTTGGCGATGGGTGAAGAACAATGCTAGAGATTGCACCTAGGGACAATTGTATCCCAGTGAAGGTAACAAAATTTTGCAAAATGTTGTGGTTATAAAATATACGAGTGTACGAGCAGCATAAATTCGTACCGGTTGTGAGTCCAGTGTCTTCGCTTTTTCTTTTTTTATCTTGTTGCTTACTTTTAAGGTACATTAAGGTACATGTTTTTACTGACTTTTCCATAATATTTTCTTACGCTTATTCGGCTTTCTTATGTGTGCGGATTATATATAACACACGATAATGCAACTACTACCGCAAGCTCTGTACTTTTTTCCTCTAAGTTTGTTCACTTTTTTCTGCTAGTTTTTCTGCCTGCTAGATAAACATTATTCAGGTGATCCAGAAGATCGGACACTCCGACGTATTGAAGCTGATGTCATCATACCAAATCGAATGAATGAACAGATTGAGAAAGTGGAATGCCATGAGTCTTATATGGGTATATTGATTGGCTTTCGATTCTTTTTTATCTCTCTGATCGACTTTGTAATAAATATGTTGCTAGTCACAACAAGACCGGCTTTATCTATGTTCTGAAATTCTTCTCTTATCCTGGTTTTTTCAGCGCATTTAAATATTTCAGACATGGTAAATTGTATGCGTGAAAAGGGTGCTGTAAAAGGTCTTATGCTTTGCAAACCAGAGTTGGCGGTATTTAATAAATGCAAATATTTGAAGTAAGTGATTTTCATATCAGCATGTTATTGATCGGATTGCAGCCTATATCTTCTTCAGTAGCGTGCTTGCTTATCGTCTACAAGGGTTTCGAAGTACTAATTCTCTTTAGCAGTTGCGACACGTTGACTATCATACATCCTTATTTTTGGTTTAATTTCTTACGTGGTAATCGTTCAATCACCTATATCAGCTATCGCTTGTATTCATCGAGTTACTCGAGTAGGCACTAGTAATCTCTATTCGTACCCGTCACAAGCCAGAGACGCTCATCGCTCTTGGTCGTTCGAAGAGTAGAAGAACCCTAAGGTAGAAAGGTAGAAAGGTTAGATAACGTGGAAAAAGAAAGAAGTTAACTGTGTTGAACTCAGCTGCAAGGTCCCCTAACCTAATTTAGCGGAAATTACCATCTTTACATTAGGAGAGAATGCTCTTGTTCGTTATAATGAAATAAAGCGGCAGACCATAAAGGTCACTCTATCCATCGTAGTACTCTCTGTCTTATCAGCATGTCATCACACTCTTTATGTCGTTATTTGCTCCATGAACTCTATTATTTAAGAATGTTTCCTTTCCATGTTATCACTTTTGCTCCTGATACGGTTCATGCAAGAAAAAAGTCCTGTGTACCAGACGAGAATAAAGAGACATTTTTAACAAAATCTTCCTGAACTAATTAGTACATAACTTTTCACCCTGTTTCTTGCATTCAGGATCGTGGACCTTGATATTAAGTTCTTCAGAAGTGACCCTATGCTCAGCCTCGATAGTGAACTTGTCTATCATATTTTCGAAAATGTTCACGTGGAACATCGAAGTCATTGCTGGCATTGGTTTGCTAGAATTTGTTCTCAACATAGCTTGAATCTAGAATACATGCGACTAATATTGTCAAAGCATTCACATTTTCCTAATCGTAAGCATCCAATTCTGGCTATTAATTGTTCGAAATTATGCACGTTAACTGTTCGAAATTATGCACTTTGTCGGCATAATAACCGGTTTTAGTGGGCATTGTCTTTTCGTATTAATCATTACGATGAACCAGCACTTGGTAGCCCTGTATCATCAGGTTCTCAATGGAGAATTCCGACCACAGTGTGTGTGTTATCATAAATATGTGTCCTTACCATAGTTCTTTGACTTGCAGATATCTTAAAATGATCATAGAACTTCAGTAGCTACGCCGTGCTCATCTTCCCCAATTATGAATGGGAAATTCTTTTCATCCAAAGGAAACGGAGCTGTTTGCTTTCACTATTTTTGCTGTGGAACACTCAGAGTTAGTTTTCACGCCTTCTGAAGCAATCAGATCTGTATCACCTGTCACCTGTAATCCCGTTGATCGTCCAGTGACTTGAGCGGGCGCCAATAAATCTATTTTTCCCTGTCGCGTGTAAGAGTAGCCCAGTGTGTTCTGCTCGCTCTAGGGACTCGTTGAGCATCGTACCTTTCTTCTAGCGTTTTTGTGAAGAACTCTCACCATCGCGTCGGTGGTCTTCCTGCAGTGCTTTTGACATCCCGAGGAATCCAGTCACTAACGGTTCTTGTCCATCGGTTGTCGTTCGTACGCATTACGTGTCCAGCCCACCTAATCTTCGACAGTTTGGCATTTAGAACGGCATCTTTGATTTTTGACCGTCGATACAGGTCAGAGCTTCGGATCCCTCTCCTCACTTCTGTTCGGAAGCAATACGGGGCTTATTTGTTGGAGGCGACCCGAAATAGCTTTCCATTCACTTTACTGGACCGTCTCCCAATCAGATTGTAAGTTTCAATATGCCTGTAACCAAGTACAACCACGCACGTAAGCATTAGTGAAATACTGTGTATATGGAATTGTTGACCCCTTTCAGATTCCACGATACTGAATTTCGAGAGAGAATGACGGAAAAGTATTTGGAACAGCGTTCAGAGGCGCGTCGAACAGGTATGACAGAAAAACAAAGAAGGCTTCAAGAGTTTCGTGAGTGGAAGAAGAAACATGAGAATTCTGAATAGTTAGAAGTCCTATTTTTGCAAGTGGCTTGTCTTAAACATTTTTGAGCACATTAGATAAACATTTAAAGTCTTTCATCTATTCGTGCTTTAACGCATTGACTGTTATGTGATCCTATCAGGCCTCTTTTCTAACCAGTTTGAATGTTTGAAAGAAGTTTTGAGGCATTGAAAGTGAAATAGACTGTAATCTTTCACTCTTGTGGTATTTTAGTGAGGTTGATTATTGTGTAGACATAGTGCTGAATCTCCCTTGAAACGGCGCTTGCTCACAACGAAGTCCATTAGTGCATGTGAAACACATTAGAGGTTACTGGATTGTGTTGGTACCCGCTCGAGTTACGCAGTAACATTTCCGAAGAGGCCAACAGTTATGGACTAAAGTTACTTTCAAGTGGGAGTTGTTATACTGAAACGAATTTCAGCGATGCTCTTAGATCCACTTATAAAATCCTTCAATGAACCTCATAAAGATGAAACTTTAATAATTCCGGTTTTTTCTCTTTACTTTTTCAAGATAAATTGTTCATGTGTTAATAAACACTTCTCTGTTGTAGAAATGAGGTGCGGACTACTTTCTAGGACTTCAGACAAGTGGAAAATACGATCATATCTGACGGGTAGTGTCCAAAAACATTTCTGGTTGGTTATCTTTCGACCACCTGTCCTTTTGAATTTATAGAAAGTGGTTTACCTTGTGTCATAGACATAATAATTTCGCTTCTATCATTTCACTTGGACGCCGTTACATCGTATTGCCTCTGTTGTTGAGACGGTTACAGTAGCATAAACACAGTCAAAGAACACAAACCAATGGAACCTGTTTCGTCCATTACAGTTCGCTTGGTGTACCAAATGAAATTGAACCAGCAGCTGCTTAAATCGAATTCTAGGAAACAAATAATACTACATTCAAAGACGTCCTCGAATTCCAGTGATTCCATGGTGTTAATGGCCTCTTAATTTGTCTCACTTCCATCGATTCAAAATCCCTTGCATCTAATTGTAACAAAAGCAGCGATGGAAGTTCTAGATAATCATGATGTCCCTATTTGTGCACTTGGAATATCTTGGCTTTGCTGATGTCATCGTTCCTATGGCATCAACTATTAGCCAAGCAGAACGGACGATGGTCGATTTCGAGTACGTGTTTGGAAAGATCGGGTTGCGGCTTAACATGAATGAAACGGTGTTTATGAGCAACCAATTCGTTTCTAACCGATTGTAAACAGCGCAAGTAGCGCGGTGATAGTGGTGTCATTCATCACGAGCACCCTGATAATCTGTCCACATAAGGGCTCACCAAGCTCCCATCACCACGAGGTTGGGGTACCAGAGTTGCCTGGGATCGGCTTGCTCCCTCTGACCTACGTGTAAGTGTTTTTCAGGGCCATCCCAGAATTCCACAGAGAATCGTCTCGTTCAGCATTCGATCATCATAACAAAGACACAAAAGTTGAGCAGCAGTTGAACTCACATGCAAAAATTCGAAGACTTTCTTGGAAGATGGATGCGAAGAAGCGAATTGAATACAGGTATTGGGAGCAACACAGTAGGTATGAGGACGGCTCATGTGAAATAAAAAGAAATCCGTTTCTAAACCTTCACTACAGACGAATATCTCTGCATTATGCAGCTTGTTCATCTGAGTTTTGAGTTCACTCCTCTGTAGCGGAAGTGAGGAGGTTCGAAAGGTCGTGAAATCATCAGAGATGTAGCATTGGAAACAATGAATATTTTTCGCCATCTCCAGCTTTACGATTCTACGGTCTTGCTGCCATATTGTACGCGCGCAAACGTGGACGCTGCTTATGCAGAATAGGAGAGTCGTCAGTGTTATGAATGCTTCAAGAGATAGTAGTGCTAGGTCCATGCTGTCCTCTAGATGTGAGAAATCATAAAAGAAATAGAAATATTCGGAGACATTCGCTCCTTTGAGCGTGAATGGGGCATACGCAATCAATCCATTCATGAACATCGCTTTTATGAGTCGAAGGCCACTTGTTCCACACGCGCTATCAAAGCCAAGCATACGTTCCGCTTGACTAATGATTGGTTTTGCGACAACGACGTCATTAGCAAAGAAAAGGTGATGTATTCGCCCGCCATCCCATTCCAATGCTCACGTTCTCGCTGGCGGTGGTAAGCAATTTTGGAGAGATTGTTTCGCCTTGCCTAACCCCTTTTTGAGGTCTTTAATATGGTTATAGAATGGTGGTATTTTTGTTATCTCTAAACTAGTAGACACCTGAATGGCGTTGTTTTGAGTTGGTCAAATTAATCGATGTTAATGCCCAAGCTCGTGTTGACTAGTACGCCAACGCCTCCCACTCCGTATTGTCGCATGTTCCGTGGAGCGGTTCCTTTCCGGTGTCATAGACGACGTTGAATGCATGGCGTCTTTTTGTTTCAGTCAGTGCGATGAAGTTGTACCTTATCCTTCTTGTCTGTCTGATCAAGTTCTGTATTGAGGACTTATATGCAAGTGAGCATGTACTGTAGGTATATATCGTCACCATAGTCCTTCGAGATTTAGGCGACCTAGAATGGCCCTGAATTTTTTGTATATCTTCCGTACTTGTGTCCGACTCAATGCTGCCGTGTAGGGGACGTTTTTGAGGTCAGGATAATAAGGCCCGTTTATTTCACTGTGTTTAGCTTTTTGATACCCACGCATAGTTTGCTGAGCTCCGAAAGTGGAGTCTGTGTATACTCACGAGTAGCTTGCCAGTCTCCCTCAGAGTGGACATGGAGCTTATTTGTTGGAGGCGACTCCTAACCGCCTCCCATATACTTCCCTGTCACTTGATTGCAAACTTGGCCGAAATGACTTGTAGAATTCAATTCACATAAACGAGAACACACCCACGCACGCAGGCATGAGCACGCCTCGTAAATACAGGAAGTATGCACTAAATCGGCGCAGCAGAAACAGGGAGCGTCCTCTCGATCCACCGGCTTCTCAGGGAGGCGTAAAGTCGCTTTTAGTCCTCGATTAATCCCCTATACGCCACTTGTGGACGCGCCACGTTCCCTCATGTGACCTTTGAGATCATGCAAAATACGATGAATGAAGAAAGATCATTAACGTACCTAATTTTTCTTTACATAGTTAAATTGTGACTGGGATAGCACAATAGTAGAGATGCCGTTCAATAATGCACGCAGTATATTGGGTGGACCTCACCGCAGGCCAACAAAGGTTGATATCATTCTGTGGTAAAGAAGTGCCTTAACCTGACTGTTTTTGAATTCTACCGGGAATATGCTCGACCAGAATTCAACGAAGTTCTTGAAGAAGAGAAAAAGTTAAAATATTTAAGCAACAGCCGAACTCACAGGCAAATCCCAAGACCTTCTTGGGTGGTTGGTGGGACGAGACTAATCCAATGGATGCAAGAAGTGCAAGGATCCGTACAATATCTGATGCCGGGTCATGTTAAAGTAAAAATAGAAGTGAATAAACTTTTATTTAGCTGTGTAGTCATGGACTGCTCTAAAAGTTTTAGTAAAACACATTTCTACCAGAATAAATTGAGGTCGTGAGGTTTCGGCGAAAGATTTTCACCTATTGCTCAAATTACATCTAAGTATTCTTTTTCACAAGTAATCTGAAAGCTCACGGAATTTGTAAACTTTCTTTTGAGAAAAAAAAACAGTCCAACCCAAAAATTTGCTACCACTCTTTCACGCCGTGAGCACTGTTCACCCGCTTTCATCATTCTTTCTTTCTGCTATATTTTTGAGATATTTGACTAGCCCGTATTTTCATGTCGTACACGCTTAACATTTTTTTCATATCGTTTGGTTTTCTTATAAATTTCTTAGAATGTTCTATCTACTGATACTGCTTGACGCCATGGATTGATCGCCTTCTTTGTTACTGTGGTTGAAGAACTTGGATACTTGAATACTTGGATGACCCATCCACACTGATTGTGCTGGCCCTGCATAACCTCCACTTTTTCGGAGATCTGCTGGTTTAGCCATTGTGGTTCCCTTGAGTCCCGAGATTAGCGAGGTCAAAGTCTGCCCCAGGTCGTCACCACCACAGGCAGTCACCGCCGTTGTGGATCAGAGGGAGATTTGCCACCATGCGACTTTGATACCAGGGCGGTGGTGGATTCTGGTACTGGTTTACTCTTAGCTAGGCTTCCTGATGAAAACGACGAACTCCTTATCGGTGAGACCCTGCCAGGGGGTTGAATCGTCCAACCATACGTCGCAGCATGACACCCAGGAATACCCCCATCCAGGATGAGGCGGTAAACCGTTGAGAGGCTTAGGATGGTTGAAGAACCTAAATGGAAAGTCAATTTCCTCTTTCATTCCCCTCTGACAGTGTTCTACTGCTTCTTTGCATGAGTATAGTAACAAAGCATGTGTAAACTATTTGCTGCAGGATACGTCACTTTTTATTTCCATTAGGCATAGGTAGTGTTCTTTCTAAAAGACGCGTTGATGTCCGAATCGAGTGGGGCTATGGGTTTTCCGCGACGACGTCAGTGTTTTGAAACCATGTGATGCTGAAATCTTATGACAAAATCTTTCGACAGTACGATACACTTCGCACGCTACCAAAACGTATCGCATCCTTGTAGACCAGAAACTACTGTAAACCGATGCTCTTCTTCAATTTCGATCCCTATTCCGACTCCCGATACCTGAAAAATCAGCACAGCCCCGCCAAAACACCTGATGACTTCGGGATCATTCAAATCATTCATGCTCAGTAAACACACGATTCTAAGAGCGCCGTGTTGAATGCGGCGATCACTATTGAATAACGAACTAGATGTTGACATAAATGTTGTAAAATGAAGAAAAAATCGGGAAAATGTTCGCTTCGCCGATCGTTTGGTAACAATGAATATGAATTGGATGCGACTCATCTAAATTCCTATTTTTTGAACTTGAGAGACGCGTCACTCCGATATGCTACCGTATCCGTTGAGCTGATTATCGCAGATAGACGTCGGTTTAGTGTCGTTAATATGGAGGGG